AAATCTCAAGTGGTTCAGCATGGAGAGGTACTTGGGGTTACGATACTTTAGGTTTGAAGAACCCGCAGAGAGAGTGGTGGGGCGGTCAGCCTTGAAATAATACTCTTTCATGGCTGCAGACTCAAGTTGTCGTAAAACAGGACAGTACGATGAGTTCAACCACTTAAATTCATCTACGTTCTCAACATGGATGGTGGCCTTCCCAGGTGGGTTCAGCAAAAACCACATGTTCATGGCTCCAAAGTTCAACTTATCAGTCACAAGATGGAAAACATGCTTCTCAGGCTCCTGAAAAGGTTATGCCATACATAGTTGTCAGAACACTTATCACTTATCACAGTTTGCATTTGATTAAAGAGGAAGACAGAAACTACCTTAGCATTCATTATGGTTGAGTTCACAACAACAGATGCTGCCAAGACATTGTCTGAGAAAAGTGCATAGTGGTAGAGCTCTGGATTTTCCAAGTTCTCGCTCCTCGGGAACTTCCTTTTCTCCAACGGGAGGAGATAGTAATCTATTGTTAAGCGCATCGACAAACAATGAATGCTGTTTGGAATTGTCTTCGCAGCCAACTGGCTAAGAAATGTACTCTGCTTCTTCAAGCTCCTGACTTGTTCATCTGCTGACTGAAGCATAGCTCTAAGTCTCTGAGTAACCGCCTTGCAATCATACACATCTTCTCTAGCCTTGGATAGAAGTTGACCCATTACTCTGACTTTCTCAGGTGCACTGCAAAGTACATTATTTGTCACGATGGAGAACAAGATAAGATATCAGATATGAAGTGAAAATAGATAAGATATCAGATCACAGATATAACACCTATGATGAAGGTCAGAATCAGCAGTAGCCTCTCCAACAGCCCTCTGGCTTTCCTTGATCCTGGTTTGCAGCTCTTGATAAAGATCATTCTTGTTCTTTGATTTAGCAAGCACAGAATAAACACGTGCCATGATAATCTGGTCTCTCATCAATCTAACTGTTGAATCTGAGTTCTCATTCTCATTCTCTTTTCTCCAAATGCTGTATTTCCCAAGGACAGCAGAATCTACAGCCTTTGATCGTTCAATAGCAGCATTCTCCAGCTTAACACGTGCTTCATCATCTTTCCTTACCAAATCCATTGCCCTCTTTTCACGCCTTTTCTCCCTTAGTTTCTTTAGCGACCAAAACATATCAAGGGAAGTATTAGGTCATAAGAAATGGATATCGATAGAAACAAACAACAATGTATCAATGTACATACAAGAAGACCAGCATGCTTACCCTTCGAGCATTTTTTGCAGGTGCATCGACTTGATGTTCAGCTGCACAGAAAAGAAGTATATTTTCTTGAGTACCTAATCGGATTGTGTGAAATGTGCTTTTCAAAAAAAGTCATGGTTATTTTTATACCAGTATCATCCTTGGGTGTTTTATCTGTCAGTGATAACTCATGTTCTGCAGAACTGTTTTCAGATTTAACCTTGTCATCAACATCCAAACTAGCATTGCTCAGGTCATTGACTAGATCATCAGTTTTCCAAGAGGGAGATGCACGTTTTCTGAAAAAATCAACACTCAAAGTGCCTGCTTCTTGTTGACTAGAAGCTAAAGCATCGATCATCTGGAGACCAAAAGGTATGCATAAGACTAAAAGCACAGAAAAATCGAGGATACTTCTGAACAAGATGACAGTTTCCTATGCAAATAACAGTAGATGGTAATTGAAAAATCAAAATGTTCGCAACAGAATTACAGAGCAGATAGAGGACACAGCATGCAAATCTACTTGGAACAATAGAGAGTAGCATGGTATTTAGAGAAAGGGCAATCAGTTGCAAGGACAAATCAGAGATCATGACATTTCGAAATTAGTAGCATAGCAAAGATGAGCATGTTGTTATGTACCCTTGTACATTTCCATGAAACCAAAAAATAAAGATAAGAAATTATATTACTAAGTCGCAAGACAATTCTGACCTCCTTGGACAAAATAGATTTCAGGTTGTTTGTTGCCAGTTGTTTTTGCCAATCTGTTTCCTGCAAGCAAGCTTTAAAGTGAGATGGATCCTCAAAATTTAGGCTAGTAAACCAATTGACTAGCTCCCAGAAAAGATAAATACCTGATTACCTTCCCTATCCTTGGGATCTGCAGGTAAACAGAATACAACATCACTTACATATTTCAAATCAGTATAGCAGTATTCAAATACTACAAAACATTGACAATGTTCCTACAGTTCTTATAAATGCAGTTTTCTTGTTTATGGGCTTTTGGCACTAGAATTACACCCACAATTCACTTGTGCGCCCTAGCTTCTTAATAGCTGGGGCTTTCCGCACAATGTCACACATCTAACATTCTAACCTCGCAATGGCACAAGTGACACTACAAGAGAGGGGAAAATGATTTCCAAAATCACTTGAAGCACAACTTCAATTGTCTGCTGTAAACTCATGATTTCTCCAAAGTGAGATTGATTATTTGCGTTTCCAAAACAAAGCATCATGATCCAATTATCTATATACAGAGTTCTCATCCAAAATCATACCATACCCTGTAAATACAACTCATCAATTGCATTTAACAACAGTACCACTAAAATCTACTCGGATTCCATTCCGGCAATATCCATGAGACCAACGCTGGGAAATTTACCAAACCTGAAGACATCACTCCCAGTCCCCACCCCACCAAAAAAATAATAATAAAATCTAGATGCTACATCAGGGGGGGGGGAGAGGGGGGGTGCAAACCGGAACCTGAGGCGACGTGGACGTGGCCCCCATTGCGCGCGACGAAGAAGATCGACGGCGCGAGCACGAAGAGGAACACGAGGACCACCAGCGGCGCCACCACGCCGGAGCCGGAGGCGCCGCCGCGCCTCCCCCCTCCTCCTCCTCCTCCCCCGCCGCCGCCGGCCGTGGAGTACGGGAGCCGCTTCGAGTTCGCCATCCGCCGGATCCGGCCGCCGCGGCGGCGAGGGCGACGTTGCCTTCTCCGAGACGAGAGTGGGGTAGGAGGGGAGTGGCGTGGTGAGAGGGGAGGAGGGGAAGCCTGGAACGGGAAGGAGGGGAAAGCAGCCGAAGCAGTCGGTGCTGGGCTATTTGGGCCTGCATTGTCTACGGCCTCGTTTGGAATAGGCCGCGAATTTCGGCCCATTTGTGGGCGAGGTAGGCCGTCACGCCGCCGTCGCACTCGCCGAAGCCGCCTGCGTCGCAGCCGTGACACATTCACACACGCCGCCGGTGCTGTCGCCGTGCGAACCCATGGCGACTTTGCGTGAACTGATCGGAGTTCAGCGACTGTGTGGCACTACCACAGTGTACAGGAGTAGCATATTTTTAGTGTGTGACACTATGAATACTCTTAATTGCTGTCAATATATCGGCTTTTTTTCTCCTTCTTTTCCTTTTCAATTTTCGGCAACAAACAATGGCGCGTGTGGATGATGGGTCGGGCTCGACAGGACCAAGGGGAAGAGACAGAGAACAAAATGGAGATGATGGACGAGGAAGAGAGAAGAGGGAGGATGATACGTGGGTTCCACTTTTGTTTTGTTTCTTTCTTTTTTGCCACGTAAACGCTAGTCAGCATGAATGTATTAGGTCAACTTGTCACGTCAGCAAAACCGATCATCCATATAGCCCAAATACATAATTTAAACCGGTTTTGCATGTTGAGGATGAGATTTCTTGTATTGCGGTATAGGGATGTGATTTAAACTCGATAGAAAGTGACTTATTCTGGGTGGGCTGCAATTTTGAGGCCTATCTGGACCGTGATGAGCATACCTTTCGTTTGGATCATGCATCCGCGTAGTTGATCAAATCATAAACTTTTGGTTAAAAAGAAGTTAGGAGTTTAATGATAATCAGCTGTATGTGATAAGCATCAAACTTGAGGACTCCATATAGTGTTATAATCCACTTTGGATTTTAGGTTCTAATTTTCGAGTTAGTTTTTAGAGTTGTTCTTAGTTATTTGTTATTGCCCGGGTTCTTTTTTAGTGATTCCTAAGAGGACAAGTAAAAATTCACCTAAAATGATTCTTAAGCATGAAACTAATTTAAATTCAAAAACACTTTATAAAGAAGTACCAAGCATATCTATCTCGGTCAATCGATATTTTTGGTGTATAACAAAGCTAGTTAAATGTGAAACCACAGAGCCACCATAGGTTACTTTCAGAAAAAAGATGGAAAAAAACAGAGAGCATAAGAGTCATTTTATAGCAGTACTAGAAAGAGGCAAGACCGCAAGAGTTACACGCATCATCAAGCACACCATAGAAATCATACACCACATCACGGTTGCAGACAAAGTTGCAGATTCCAGCAATGACGCAATTAAAACCGAAAGTTATCTCTCAAACCATTTCATTCAGGCCCTATTTAGATGGAACTTAAACTTTTAATTCCATATCACATCGGATGTTTGGACACTAATTATAAATATTAAATGTAGACTATTAATAAAACCCATCCATAATCTTGGACTAATTCACGAGACGAATCTATTGAGCATAATTAATCCATGATTAGCCTATGTGATGCTACAGTAAACATTCTCTAATTATAGATTAATTAGGTTTAAAAAATTTGTCTCATAAATTAGCTTTCATTTATTGAATTAGTTTTGTAAGTAGTCTATATTTAATACTTTAAATTAGTGTCTAAATAAAAAGACTAAAGTTAAGTTTCTGATACAAACACCACCTCAATCCATCAACTCATGCGGTGATCGATCGATCAGCTTCATCAAAATTAAGCCGGCACGCAAGCCTGAAAGCTACCGTTGACGTATTTGCTTCAGAGCACACGTATTTTTTACCCATGCCAGATTACCAACCTTGCAACGACTTCTTCAGTTCAGTTCTCCTCATGTACGTCTCCTGCAGAGTCTGGCAAGATTCGAGAGCTATCTTGACATGTTCTGAATTCTGATCGCGACATGAACACCATGGTTCGTTCGGTTTTTTCAGGAAAAAGAATCGCATGACTCGCCAAGCGCATAATTAAACAATCGTGTTTCATAATTAATCCACACTTATTAGCTGCTAGTACTAATTTGCTATACAAATCCAGTCATGTCCTCATCGACGTAGACTGTAGAATGTACAAATGAAACGAGATCTGTCTTTGTGTGTCGACTTCATCTAATAATTGCCATTTTTGCAGTAACATCTACTGCATCATCGATCGTTTCCATTTGCTTGCCATCTACTAGTGTTCTTCTATTTACAAGCTCACCACACTCATTCCCTAAAGCTAATCAAATATGTGCTAATTGCAGAGCTGAGCTGAGCTGAGCTAAATGCCACTACGAATAATTAAAGAATTTAACGCAAAGCACGCAGCGTCATTTGGCGACATTGCATGCGTGTAGGTGTACCATGGCAACCAAACGAATTCGCTAATCTACGAATCGCGGCGGCGCCGCCGTCACTGCTGCGGCTGGCCGTCGGCGGCGGCGACGTCGTGCTGGTGCGGCCAGGGGATGAGGCTGTATGGCGGGAAGCAGCAGTCGCACTGCCCCGGGCACCGCCGCGGCCACTCGCCGGCCGCGGGCATCTGCTCCGCCGCCGCCTCCTCGGCCGCCGCGGCGGCGACGGCGTCGTCTTCCTCGGGCGGCGCTCCGGCGTCGCGGAGCGGGCCCCAGCACTCGACGCGGTTGAAGCGTGGGAGGTTGGAGTGGAAGTAGACCCACACCGTGGCCTCCTCCAGCTCCGGGTGCCGGCTGAACAGGTTGCCGTCGCCGTGGACGAACGCCTTCAGAACCTGGCCGAACACGCGCCGAGTCAACGGTCAACCAAAGCAAGCGATTAGGCTCGAATTAATCAATTTCAGGAAGCTGTTCAAAAATTTCGATTTTTATTCTCACATCTGAACTTCCAAGTCGTGTTTGGCACGTGTCAAGTGGGCATGCAACTTTGAACACAGTTGATTAATTTCACTAGTATATAATATTCTTAAAAAGTTGATAAAATAGATTAACATATAATATATTGCACCACAAACATATAAGTTTAAATTTGACATTTGACTTATACAAGTTATAATAAAAGTAACAAATTTAACAGTGAACATAGTAAACTAATTAGAGTTTGATTGGTTATATTTATTACAACTTATAAAAGTCGAATTTAAACTTACATATTATATGTGAATCTATATTATCAAATATTTTAATTTTTTTTATAACGATTTAATTGATATGTAACAGATGGATGGATGCCAATCTGAGAGATTAAAATTGTTTCCCCTACTTGTTGGAGATCAGTTTTTGGTGCCACTAATAACAGTGTCTAAAATCAGATCTAGAAAGTCAAGGGATTTGCCTGCTTTAGCAGACAAGAATTATTGGATCCCATCAATTATCTCAGGGACATTGACACAGAGTACGTCTTGATTGCAAAAATGAAAAGAGCAAAGGGGAAAAAAAAAAGGAAAAAAGCTTGTGGTCTCCAAGTCTGAAAGAAGAAGAGAGCATCAGTAAAGCGAGCGACGAGGAAAGGGGCCACGTACGTACCACGGGGAGCTCCTTGCGGAAGATGTAGTAGCGGAGGCCGGCGATGAGGTCGAGGAGGACGTGGCCGCCGGAGATGTGGCAGTGGACGTGCAGCGACATGTGGCCCTGCACCTTCTTCCACTCCGCCACCACCTCGTCCCGCTGCAGCTTGTTGTACCACCCCTGCAGCTGCGCCCGGTTGATGGTGTGCGACACCGCCAGCGTCAGCCTCGCCGTCACGTCGCTGTGCGTCAGCGTGTACGTCCGCGGCAGCTTCCCCGGGTGCTGGTGCTTCTCCTCGTCCACCCCCAGGAACAGCACCTTCAGCTTCGACGCCTCGAAGATCGCCGGCCCGAACAGCCTCGCCCTCTGCACCACCACATCCACATACATATTTAATTTACATTTCATTCGGATTCTTCTTCTCCAACCATTGATTCACCGGAGAAGAAAGAGGATGGTGCATGTACGTACCGGCACGACGTAGCGGCAGCGGCGGCGGCGGCGAGAGTTGTGGCAGCGGGAGGCGAGGACGACGAGGGAGTCGGCGGCGTGCCACCGCTGCTGCTGGGTGATGGGAGGAAGCAGGGACATGGTCGAAGTAGCAGCAGCCATGTCTGCTCCCTCGGATCTCTTAGTCCTAGCTAGCCAGCAGTAGTTAACTTTAAGCCTAACAACCAAAACGACTCTTGACAGCTTTAATTATAAGCTGGGATCTCTATGGAGGCCGGAGATGCTGGAGGCGCGGCTAATTAATCCCTCTCGGCGAAAGCACGAGCCTTGCACGCCTCAACAAAGACACCGGCCGGCCGATCGATCGATCAAAATTTTGGCTCGGTTTGGTAGCTTCGCGGATTGGCTTCTCAGTCAGTTCAGCTCGCTGCAGGTTGGTGATTATAAGAGAGAGCGGGTTAAGTGAGAAGAAGAGTGTTGTATTAGTGTTGGTGTGCACGCGTGGTGCGGTGGGGGGTGGAGTGAGGGGTCGGGAAACGTCGCGGTTGTGTGCGCGCGCGGGGAAGCTCGCGTCGTCGCCGCGCCCTCCTCTCGTGTCGTCTCGCGGCGGTGGTGGTGGTGGTGGAAAAACGCCCAGGAAAACGGGGGAAATTGTGGCGTTCGCGCGTGGGTGGAAACGGGAGGAATGGAACGCTTGGCCGTGCTGCACGTGGCGTCTCTGCTACAGGAGCGTGGTTTGATGCAAATTTGACATTCGGTTACGGCCTTGTTAGTTCCAAATATTTTTTCTTCAAACTTTCAACTTTTTCATCATATCAAAACTTTCCTACGTATATAAACTTTTAACTTTTTTTGTCACGTCGTTTCAATTTTAACCAAACTTCCAATTTCGATGTGAACTAAACACATATATACGTATACGTACCACACACCTACTTATCTGTAACTATTTTCCTCTTGAAACGGGCTAAATATTGATCGTAATTTGCAGAGTTTCTACCGAAAGACATACAGCAGGATACTTAATATTGGCCCGAATTAATCTAGTGGAGACTTGGACTTCATTTGGTTTTGACCATGCAATATATGGGGACTGCGTCTGCTTAATTGGGATTGTAATTTTGCGTTACGTACGTTGCACCGCGCAGTGTACTCAACATTTCAAGTAACTCGTTGACAAAGCAAATGATGGAGATATTTTTTTTTCCGGGGGATCTGAGTGGATCAAACTTCAGAGTGATCGTTCCAAACACGATTCCAACTTCTTTTTTTTATAGAACTAGATTCCAAGTGTAATTACATGGTAGAACTAGATTCCAAGTGTAATTACATGGTGTAAGGCTACTGCACGGCGCTGTTGCTTGCGAGCTAGGCGCATCCGTGCTTTCTGAAATGCATGTATATATGCGCGAGTGATCATATTTTTGACTGAATCCTCCGCGATGCGTGCGAGCTGATCAGCTCGTGCAAGGCAGCTGACACACTCACATAAGCGATCGATGCTAGTTATGGAATCTAGCTTAATTTTTCTCGGTCTAACTGAAGAAGGAGCATTCGTCACGTTTGGCAAATACGGCCATGCGACATATAGTTGGAAGACGAAAATGGGAGACTTGGCTCGTGGTTATCATGTTCTAGCCTCACCCGTTCCCACAGCCCACGTGACCAAACAGGATGAACGAGAGCGCCAAAGCTTCATCGATCCGTTTCTTTGCTTCTGTTTTCGATATGTATGCCATGTTTGTGAAGGTTAACGCTATGAGAAACAGCTAGCTGGTAACGAGCTTTTAAGAATCTACATAAGCTAGACAAAATCGTATATCGATGGGTCAGCTTAAGAACCCCCATATGAAATGATCATATATACCTTCAATCTGGGGACCCAATCTTATTAAAAAGGAAAATTGAAAATCTTGAGGCCCAACGTGAATCACATATACTGCAGTTATAACTGTTTCAAAACGCCACAATGTCTCAAAAAATCTGTAAAAATTCTGCTCCGATACGCCAGGCGGGCTAGCTGCCGGCGGAAGGCTGCAGAAAGTGCAGATTCGTCAGAGGCGGAGACGTTCATGCAACTCCGAGCGAGAATTTGCAGCCCGGCCGTAAATAATCTAGAGGTGAATTCCGTCCGGTAAATAATCCACGGTTACGAATTACCCCTAAACTATTATGGACGATCGAATTACCCCCTAAACTCGAATATCAGATATTTTACACCCTTAACTATACAAACCGGGTAAATAACCCCCGGCTCAATCCGGGGTGGTTTCAGTACTACGTGGCAGTCCGATCAGCATTTTTTTTTTAAAAAACAGTGTGGGCCCCACCTGTAAGACTCTCCGCTCTCTCTTTCACCTCTAACGTCTCAATCTCTCTCTACTCTCTCAATCCCCATCCCCTCTCTTCCTCCTCCTCCCTCACCTGCTGCAGCGAGCGGCGGCAGCCGGCCGGCGCACGGCGACGCGCCATCTCTCTCCTCTCTACCCTTGCTGTGGTGGTGGCCGGCTGGCAAGGCGCGAGTCCCCCATTACCATCGAGCTCGGGTGACCGTACGACGCGCCCCACCTTTGCTTCCACCGGACATCGTGCTTGTCCCCCATCTCTGCCTCATGCTCCCGCGGAGGCTCGCCAACGTCGCCGATGGGGGTGGTGGACAAGCACGGCAGCCACCTTCGGTGATGGTTTGTGCACCGATGTCTGCGCGTCGATCCGTCTCCGCCGTCGGCCACCGTCTCCTCCTCCAGCCATAGACGCAGAGAGAGAGAGCAAGCAGGGAGGCAGGGGCCAGGGGGATGGGATTTGAGAGGGATTGGTGGAGGAAAGAGATGACATATGGGTCCTAAGATTTTTTTTATTTTTATTTTGCTGACTGGATGTCACGTTGGCGGCCACGTATGCAGACACAAGTCAAAAACCATCCAAAACAGTGCTCAGGGGGGGTTATTCGTCCGGTATACATAGTTTAGGGGGAACGATGTCTGGTTTTCGAGTTTAGGGGGATAATTCGATCGACCGCTATAGTTTAAAAGGGTAATTCGTATTTTTTTTCCTTTTTAATACATAGAGATGATTTCTTGGGTTGAGATGCATTTTAGTAGTAATCCGGAGGTGAATTCCGGTGAATTTTGAGTATTTTATTTACTACTACTACTTCCAGTTCCAGGATGCAGTCGTCGTCAGGAAACTGGAGAGGACACCGGGCCAAATTTAGCTAGGCGACGTGGATGCACCGGCGTGTGGGCTTCATTTCCGTGATGCTTAGAAGGCACGGTTTGCCCTCTCTCGCGATCGCCTGCCTGGCCCGCACGCTGCCCGCGGCCGCCGGCCGGGGGCATGTCGCGATCCGATCCACGTTTCGCGTGCGGTATACGTGCTCGATCAGGTTCAGCTCCCACGGCCACGGGCGCGCGATTGATTGATTCACCGGCCGCGTGGCCGCTTCCGGTTAACATGCGCGCTCAACGCGGTCACGGTCACGGCGCGTGTGTTGTGTTGTGTTGTGTTGTTGCGGATTTGAGATTTGCATGCAGTTGCAAGCCTCGCTCGCTCGTATTACGGATGTCGTATGTGGTGTGTATGCCTACCCCGATTCCACGGTGGGTGAGCTGCAAAGTACCCGTAGTTTTCAGTGAAAAAACTCACATTTATGCATGCATTATATCGCTGCCACCTCCTTTATCCAATACGATCGAGTAACAGTCAGGGTTCAGGTTCTTTTTTTATAAAAAAAAATCTGTAACTGATTGAAAACCGTAAAATTTTTAGGTTTTGACGTAGAACGAAGGCAGATTCCGAGTAAAATTTTGGAATGTTTTCAAGGATTCAAATTTTTAACAACAAATTAATTTGACCGAAATTTGACGAAAACCATCATATCGTCGTGATTAGGATTAGGCACTAGATCAAAAGGTGCACCCTGTATCACAAATTGTAAAGGATGATTTTATTCCTGAGTAATGGAATGCCCTGTTTTTCCCGAAAAAAAAAAGTTGCACCCTGGTGATTAGGATTAGGATTATGTTGACCGTGCATGCTCAGGCTTCAACACTCACGAGCTCGCTTGGGTACCCGTGAGTATATATGGTTGTCAAAATATATCATACGACTTTATGGTTGTAATTAAGGAGTCTGATTCTACGATATAGTAGGTAGAATCAATGATGTTATCATTTTTATGTATACGATTTTATGATTACGATCCTACTTAGACAAATCTGATTCCAATTTAAGATTGTGATTTTAACGACCTTGCATGTACTACAGAGCTTGCTCCGTCGGTCGGACACAGATACAGTGACATTCCCCCGTGACATTCTCGGTGACATTGAGTCACTGACATATGGCCACATGTCAGTGACTCAATATCACCGAGAATGTCACGGAGGAATATTACCGAATCCCAATCCCCATCGGTCAATAGGAGACCAACGAGCTCTCACTTTGCTCCTTCAACCATGTGCCCTCGTGCTCCTTGTCCTTGTTCTCCTGTTGGACTATGGTCGTCGTCACATAGCTGCAGCCCCATCACATGCCCTTCTTTGCCGATCTAGTTTATTTGCCCCCACTTCCGTCGCCGTAGCGGCATCTAAGGCCTGGTTTAGTTCTCTAAAATTTTTATATATATAAGCATTAAATATAAACTTAAAAAAACTAATTGCACAGAGAAATCACTTGATGAATCTTTTAAACCTAGTCCATGAGACTACGATTAGCCATAAATGCTACGGTAACCCACATTTGCTAATGACAGAATAATTAGGCTAAAAAGATTCGTCTCGCGGTTTCCAGACGAGTTATGAAATTAGTTTTTTCATTCGTGTCCAAAAATCCCTTCCGTCATCCGATCAAACATCCAATGTGACAATTAAAAAAAATTTCTTTTCGCGAACTAAACAGACCCTAGGCACAACAAGAGTGGATGAAATAGAGATGAGGAGAAGATCGAGAGAGGGAGTGGCAAATGACATGTGGTCCAATTTGTAGCCAAGTACTAGGTGCAGAACAAGTCATTAATTTCAAGTCCTCTCCAATTAAAAAAAACAAAAGACTAGTTTTTGGCATGTGTTTTCGCATGCCCGAACTTTTACGGTGACTAGTGGCAAACACCATATTTTTTTTAAGTATCTATAACAAATTTTGGCTAGAAGTTAACTCTAGTTGACCAATTAACCTGGAAATTTTGAGAATACGTTGCGTCAATAAGCTTGACGAATAATTATAGTGACGTTTTAATAACAAAATATATCCAACTTGTCATGAGATTTCTCGTAGAAAAAATAAATTTTGTCATGACAGATTGAGAGTTTGAGATCAGACAGCACATCGCATTCATAACAAACACCATTATACTACTACTATTACATTATAGCGAATGATATGCATTTCAGACATATACTGTAGCACGTTTACCACGAGCCTTTCGGTCGCTCGATAAGCATCGATCTGGATACAGTGAGAAAATGAACATGGACACTTTTTCGACGAAACAATGATTTTCTTTGGTGACCTTAGCCCAAGGAACTTCTTCAACGTGATTTTTTTTTCCTTTTGGCAGGGTATGTATACATATATATAGATTAGTGAGATGTGACTGGGAAGAGGGCCAGCAAGACAACAGCAAATTGCTTAAGGGCATTCTCAATGTATAAAATGCACGCAGATCATAAGATGAGACCCACGATTATATATGATCTTTTGCTAATAGTATAGTTACAACAAATATCTGCTGCTCGTTCTGTTGGTGTTCACGGAAGCGGCGGTGCCTGAAAGCTAACAGCGAATAGGGCCTCTTGTTCGATAATGCAACAGTTACTGTCACAAACTGTTCGAATTTTACATACTCATTACTCTCTCGTCTCATTAAAAAAAATGATCTGTCTCATTAAAAAAAATCAACCTATGATGAGATGTGATGTTTCTAGGTACAATAAATCCGAATATGCATATATGTTTTCTAATACAATACTAGAAAACATCTTGCCTCATTCTAGATTGGTTTTTTATGGGACAGGGCAGCACTTGTGTATGTTTGGATTTTGCATATCATGATAATTCAGACTTTATACCCTCTTGTGCACGTTCATAACGTTTCATATTCTGTAAACAATTTTATGAATTGAACCTGAACGAGAACTAACTTATTTTTGGGTATGTTTAGTTCACGCTAAAATTGGAAGTTTGATTGAAATTGGAACGATGTGATGGAAAAGTTAAAAATTTATGTATGTAGAAAAGTTTTGATGTGATAGAAAAGTTAAAAGTTTGAAGAAAAAGTTGGGAACTAAACCAGGCCATATGGATGTAAACATATTCAGAACACAAATGCCACTAGGCTCAAAAGTCCACAGTGCTATAGTGTCACACCACAGTATGTACAGTGATTGTCTGATTGATAGGTTTAGGGATCTTTTTTTTTTCTAAAAACGTTTAGGGATCAAATGTTGCCAAAGCGACCAAAGTATCACAATAGACAAACTTGTCACAATCGGTACAATGTTGCACGATAGACTATGATGTCTTAGGCCTGATTTTTTTAATTAGCTGAATAATTTTATAATAATTATTTGAGAATACAAACAAATGCACCAAAACTATTAGAAAGCAGAAAAAATAAATAAATTCAAATATAGAGAGTTTTTTCAATACTTATACTGTTTAGAAGCTCAAAAATATGTCCCTCTATTCTTTCATTCCTTAAAAAAGAATATCGATCCTTAAAATTAAGGTCGCATACATAATTTGATAAATAAATATTGTATCACGTTTCAATTTGTACTTCGTATCATTAATTATTGGTATGGAAACTGTCCAACAAATGGTGATTTCTTCATCAATAGATCTAGGGCGAAACCCAGTAATCAGGTATGTGGGTCATCGGTCGTTGGGTGAGGTGATCCAAACTTGGAAGCATTTAGTAGAAATTAATTAAAATATCCACAAGCCATGCATGATAATTGTATGAAAAAATTCCATGTGTACCTCTAAAAGTTCACCTAATTCCTTCTACGTTGCTGAATTTTGTTCATTTCCTTGCATACTCTTGAATCTTGAATTTTAGTTTGTATCCATTCTATGTCCTTTTAGTTGACTGTCAGTTGGACGTTAAATTCTCGTGTAAAAGTCCATTTTTACCCTTTACTATCAAGAAACATAATAAATTAATGGAGTATATTGTTTGAGTGTAGAAATTTGTTCAGTGTGACTATTATATTTATGAGTTTGTTATGCACCATATTATTTGTGACATAATTACTTTTAGATATGATATAAAAAATTTAATATTTATTTATTAGTTATTAAAAGTTGGTTTATGTAGTATATTTGTTTTGATAGTAATATAACATATTTGTTGTATAAGACAAATATATTTATATGCTACATAAGCAACTTTTAATAACTAATAAATAAGTAATTGATTTTTTATTTCAATATCTCAAAGTAATTTATCGCAAATAATATAGTGCATAACTAACTCATAAATATAATAGTCTCATCTAACAATTCTACACTCCAACGATGTACTCTATTAATCTATATTTTTTTCATAGCAAAGAGTAAAACGGAATTATTCATAAGAAATTAACGGTCAACTAGCGGAAAGGGCATAGAAGAGAACCAAACTAAAATTCAGATATATGTAAAGGACGTAGAAAGGATTAGGCGAACTTTCAAGATACGTACATAATGAATTTTCAGGGGTACATAGTGATAAATTTGCAACACCTTGCGTTTTCGTTCTCACAACGCAGAAAGTTCAGACCTAATGTTATAGTCATCAGGGCTATCATCCTATTTAAACTACTATATCTCCAGCCAAACCACGGATATGGTACTAAGGCTCCGTTCAAACAGTACATGATTAATTGAATATTATCTATTATAAATTTGATAAACTGATTTATTTATTAATCTTTAGAAAAAGGTTCTATATAGAAATCTTTTCACAAAATATATCACTTAGCATTTTGACAAAGTGTTATCAAAAATAAAAAAAAGTTATCGTTTAAAGTTACGGAAAAGAACTCAGCCTAAAAGCTAGCTACAGCATGCCAGCAGCTGTTGGCTGCTGCCTTTGCTGCCGTAACGTAAGCTCTAAGCACCACCGCTGCTTGCTCGCCATGGACCAAGCAAGGCCCAATGCCGACCACTACGCTAGCTAGCCTGCTTTGCTAGGCCCACAAGCAAAGAAACCAGCCCACTACCTTTTTCTCTTATCTCTTTTTTTTTTCATCAATCAATTATTCCGGGACGTTACATCGGTATCATGGCCTCATGGGAACTATTCTCCTTAAATCCTTGAGTATTCTAAAACTTGAGAAATATTCAACCGTGTTTGTTTGGATGCACCACAAAAGGAATGGTTTTTTTAGATCCACAAAAGAAATGGTACAGGACTTTGGAAGAATTATAGATAGAGATTTTCTTTCACAAGGTTATCTCTCTCATGTCAGAAATCTACTTAGAAACCTACTGTATTAATTTATTTTGCGAAAAAAATATTAGGACCAAAAAAGCACGGGTTACATCGGAAAAATTATGTTACTAAGTTTTTTTAAATAGAAAGTTCAATTTTACTCTCCCGAATTATTTCATTGGAGTACTTCACTCCTAAGCAATTTTTTGGGTTATTTTACACCCCAAACTATTTAAAACGGTTCAACTGACCCCCTATCTGTATTTCTATTTTTTCCCTCTCTATATATGTCGTATTTTATACTAAATCTAAAAGGATCGACAGATGCATTATAACTTATCTCTCAATATTTTTTGAATTTTTTTTATCATTGTTTACATAGGTTGGAAACACTAGAACATATTTAAACATCGAGGTTTTAAGTTTAAAGAAAGTAGTTATGAAAATATTTTAGAACTTTAATAATAGTGCCATCTCTGCCTTAAGAAGTTTAGCTTAAAATACAGCTTGTATAAAAGAGAAATAAAGAAGAGAAATACTATTAAGTGGTAAAGTGAAGCATCATTAATAGTTTATGAGGCAAAAAAAAGTTCATGAATTCAGTGCTAAGCTATGCCTCATTTGGATTTTTTTCAAAACATAGTGCATATGCGGACGCTCATATAGTCATATAAATTAACGGAATTGCTAAAAAACTTGCGACAGTTTTAAGGAAAACTGTCAATTTTTCAGTCGTCGGATTTACTCCGAGATTCGTGCGTGCGAGATGAAAGAAAATAGCAAAAAGCAGTACGCTATACTGGGAGTCGATCATTTCCCCTCCAATTAACTAGAGTAGCATCCCTACCACTGAGCCAGCTGAACTATTGATGTTGAAAGCAGAGTTACATGATACTCACATATGTGTAACCACATAGCAGATCCCTATTTTTTGGATAATCTTATTATATTTCTATTTTCTTTGTGGGCTTGCTAGCAATGATGCTGGTGTTGGATACAAATGCTAAAATTTTTTTTGAATGTTTTGGTACCTAGTTTTTATCGAACGTCCTATATGTATTGTCATCGTGCTTTAATATACTTACATAACACTTACCCTCTAGTTACAGAGTAGTTACATAGCAGTTACACCCTAGTTACAGAGTAGTTACATTATGTAAAATTAGGAACTACATTTTTTTTTCATGAGCATGCATACTAGAAGCATGCGTACTAGCTTGTACTAGTGTGGAACCGTTTTCCTGTAACGGTTGATGACAGACCCTGTGGTTAAAAAATTTGAAAGTTTTGAACCTCTGTCGACAACTCACTAGCCAGTCCCTAAATTAATGAGCGCATACCTTACCTTTATAAGTACTTTCAAAGTAGTTATTGATGTTTCTGTAAATGCAAGTATTTATGGCAAGTATAAGATTTGAACATGGCTGGGCAGGTCCATCACAAGAATTTTTTAAAAAACAGCGTTCATCTGGATTTCGGAAGAATGGAATTCACAAACTGCTAGATGAAATCCGAGGTACTAGTAATTTGGAGTTGTACTAGCTACTTCAGGGTGTGTCAGGGTGTGTTTAGTTCACGTTAAAATTAAAATTTTGGTTGAAATTGGAACGACGTGACGCAAAAGTTAGAAGTTTATATGTGTAGGAAAATTTTGATGTGATGGAAAAGTTGGAAGTTTGAAAAAAAAAGTTTGGAACTAAACTCGGCCTCAGCACTATTGGAGTTGTGAGTACTGAGTTGTTTGTAAAATATAACATTTATTCTTTGTGAAATCCCATATTTTCCACCACAAAATCGATCAGAATTCAGAGCAGACGATCGAAGCAGCCTCAAGCATCCACGGCGCACCGGGGGTACTCGAGAAGCGGCACGTCGCCGCCGCCGCCGCCGCCGGCCACCGCGGCCTCCGTGCTCAGCCCGACGACGACGTTGCACCGCACGTACAGGTCGCGCCACCCGCTCCTGAACGGCCCGCTCCTGTACTTGACCCTGCCCATGACGACGAGCCGGAGCTGCACCCGCCGCGCCGCGCAGTCCGCCGCCAGCGCGCGCGCCGCGTCGGGCGACACCGGCACGGCCGCACCGCCGAGCAGCGGCGACATCGCCACGTCCGCGCCGCGGTCCTGCGCCACGGGCGGGAGCGGCGCCGGCGGCATGACCGGCTCCCCGCGGTACGACGCGTAGGCGACGAGGCCGTCGTAGAGCAGCGACGCCCTGTCGCTGGGGTTGTGGAGCACCAGCGTGAACTGCACGCTCGCGGCGAGCGCGTGCGCGGAGGAGGAGGCGTTGGCGAGGGCGAGGCGGTACACGGCGGCGCGCGGCACGGACGCCTGCGGCATCACGGGGCGGTAGACGAGGTACAGCACGAGCGCGGCGGCGGCGGCGGCGGCGAGCGCGGCCACGGCGAGGGCCGCCGTGGCGAGGTGGCGGAAGCGGCGAGCCCGGTGGTGGGCCTCGCAGAACCGCGCCTTCCTGGAGACGTCCATCGACACGACGATGCCAGCTATGTCCCGACCTCGTCTCGGCGTCCTCCTCCTTTCCACCTCGCGTATTATTCCGCGTCGTCACGTCACGCACGCGAGGCGGCGCCGCGGAGGAGGAAGCCATGTGGATGGATGGATCGCGAATTCGGGAGCAGTTTGGAAAAGCGGCCGCGCGCGCGAGCTCGGACAAAACGGGGTGGTGGCTCGCGCGCGCGGCGGTAGAAAGAAGAAGCCAATAGGCGCTGCGGCTGCTGTGACGCTGGCTGCGGCGTTGCGGGCGGAGTACTGAGCTGGAAACCTGGGAAAGAGAAGCTGGCAGGGACGTTTGCATGCATTGAAACGTAAGCATGTGTGACGAAACGTGGTGAGTACTTTGGGAAGAACAGACGATGGATGATGGGATCTGCTGAAGTAATGGAGGCTTCACTGGAATACCACTGGATGCAATTACTGGTCTATTTTTTTCACACATTTGAAATATTAAACGTAGACTAATAATAAAACAAATTATAAATTCTACCTGTAAACTGCGAGATGAATTTATTAAGCATAATTAATACGTCATTAGCAAATGTTTACTGTACCATCACATTATCAAATCATGGCGCAATTAAGCTCAAAAGATTCGTCTCGCAATTTACATGCAAACTGTGCAATTGGTTTTTTTCGTCCACATTTAATGCTCCATGCATGTGTCCAAATATTTGATGTGATATTTTTGGCAAAAAAATTTTGGTTCTTAAGAGCAGGTACAATAGCAGGCTATAAGCCAGCTGCAAATATATTTTAAGGAGTTAAATAAGGAGAGAGAAGTGCAGCGGGCTATAGATTTGTAGCCAGCTGTAGCACGGACTCCAAGACGCAGTGTGTGTATGACATGTAGGACCAGGTATTAATAGTGTAGTATGTAACTATTGTATGAATGAGCTATTAGATTGACTATAGATGAATTGGAGTTAGTAGTTAGCTGTACTATTGAACTTGCTCTAACACACCCTGCGTTAGTTACCTCCGTTCCCAACTTCTCTCCCTCGTTTTTCGCGCACACGCTTTTCAAACTTCTAAACCGTACGTTTTTTGCAAAAAAAAAATATATACGAAAGTTGTTTAAAAAATCATATTAATCCATTTTTGGAAAAAAAAAGCAAATATTTAATTAATCACCCGCTAATCGCTGCTCTGTTTTCCGTGCCAGGGAGTGAGGGTTCCTGAACGAAGCAGAACAGTCCATTAGGCGGAAAACGAGAGAGATGAGTTGGAAAACCTAGGGTAAGAACACAGCCTTAAAAAGCAAACTCTCATGTCGTGTGCCCCCCGCCTAGGCGAGACGACAGTTTACCACATCTCTACTACTTAAAAAATAAGAGGTGCTTCCATCGTCCGTCAAAAAAATAGAGTGAAAAAACCGGACGAAAAAAATCTGTCCGATCCAAAACAAAACGGACGAAAATAAACCGGATGAAAAAAGAAAAGAAAAATCAAATCTGTCATATAAAAAAAGGGCGCAATAAAGGAAAAGAAAAACGAATCCGATTCCACGGTAAAAAAAAAGGGAGAAAAGAAATTAAAAAAGGAATCTATCCGATTCTAAAAAACGGGCGCAAAAAAACAGGCGAAAAAAAAATCAGGTGAAAAAAAAGATCGGCCAAAAAAAACGAATCAGATTTCGTTGGCGCGGTAAGAAAAGAGCAAAAAAAAAACAAATCTGTCCGATTCTAAAAAAAAGGAATTATATGTGACGCGGTAAAAAAAATCGAATCCTATTATATTTGACACGATACTATATATCTCTATCTTCTCTATCTCTACTACTTAAAAAATTAAAAACGTTTCCGTTGTCCGTAATAACAAAAAAGAAGGGCGAAAAAAACATTAAAAAAAAGTTTGATTCAATTTACTTCCGTCATGCGTAAAAATCGTATCTTATCTTAATCTCAATCTTTCCGAGGGGAAAAAAAGAAAGAAATTAAAGAAAGGGATAAACTAGATTGATGTTCCCAAAATTAAAAGAGGATAAACGATATTGAAACTCCCCTAACTCGAAAAGAAGGAATAAAATAGATTTAAATTTCCCGACAAAATTCTCCAAATTCGAAGAACCCTAATTTCGGGTAAGAACCATAAGAGTCAAAATCCAAATCAATTAAGCTAAAGGTTCGGGTTACTTATCGGACTTGAAACCCATGAGCACACCGGAGCTTTCCAGGAAGCGGCACCGCCGCACCTTCACCTCCTCGCAGTCGTGTCGGGTTCCCTGCGCGCTGTCCTGGAGCACCCCGCCACCATCCTTTGCCGAAGACGGGAAGCGTCGGCTTGGCGTTGCCCCTACCGCCGACGAGGTCCAGGCCGCTCGGTGCTCGTCGCCGTTTGCACGCCTACCTAGCCAGACCGCGGACGTCGTGGCACGGCTTTGCGTCGCCCTCGGGTGCGCCCCCAGCCGGCGAAGCAAGAGCCGCTCGGCGGTCGTCGCCGTACGCACGCACCAGCTTGCCGGACCGCCGTCGTTCCGCTGGCTCGTCGTCGAAGAGAAATGGGATCAGGAGAGAGCGATTTGGGAGCTAGGGTTTTGCCCCTCTCTCCCGGTCGGTGCTTCATCCGAGGCAGGGACGATTGGAGCCGTCCATTAGATCGGACGGCTCAGATTCGCCTAGCGTCAGGCCGTCGCCGCCGTTGATTACGCTGCGCCTAATGGGCCGCGGAAGTGCATCGGACCGTCCCCGCATATGTGGGCCACGCTCAGCTGCTCAGCTTGCGGGCCGTCGAATTGATGACTCAACTCGCCGAAGATGGGCAAGCCCAAGTTTGGGCTAGCTTGGGAAGACCTATGCCGAAAGCAAATTTGATCAAACAATGTGGCTCACATTTTTCAAATTAAAGTCTGTCGGATAAACTCCTAGGTAGGCTCGAAAAATAAATCTAAAACTAAATCCTAAATCCTATGCTAATTGATCAAATTAGACTCGGTTCTACTTATTTGTTAATATACCAAATTAGACTTGATTTTTACAGATTTGAGGTTTTCAAGGTGTCACACTATCAAACGATGTTTTTCCGTTGCAACGCACGGGCACTATTGCTAGTCATAAAAAGATTAAAAAAAAGGAAGCCGGCAGCATTTGTAGAAGTTTGAAAAAAAATATTTTAATAGATGATTTGGAATCACCTGTACATTTCGACAATGCTACTGAAGTAGTGGCGTTAATGCCAATGGGCTGTAGTCCACGGGAAATGAAGCAAGCTTGGCCCACAAAAGATTTGGACTAGTCAAATTATTGGGCCTATTGTTGCCATCCCAAAGGGAAGGAAATTCAACACTCAACGTCATCCTTTCTGCCGGGTGTTCCAGACTTCCAGTGAAATTTAACTGCCCACGGTAAAATTTGGAACTGGCCAATTACCAAATATCATAGGAAAATTTTGAACTTTTTACCAGTAGCTAGCCGGAATACTTGTAAATTCAACTTTAAAATATGTAGTACTAAATTTACAACTTCTCGACCAGCAGGCGTCCATAACGATTTGGTACGACGTGCATTAACCGAGCCAAAATGAGGAGCAATACCAATTTTCATCCTGTTAAAACGTACACATTTCACAAAAGAACACATCTTCGGAAGCATCACAAGCTTTACTGAAAGTATGAAACTACACCAACGATGTTCAGTGTAAGAAACTGTACAAAAGAACTTTGTCTTTGGATATCCTTGACACCTTACATCCACACACGTCCAGCTTACACGTTAACTGTTGGCTAGATACAATTTAGAAAACATAAATACGTGTGCTACATGATAAACGCAGCTTATCTAGATCTGAAGCAAAATATGATCCCTACTGACAAACTCTACAATGTACGAGGTCCATGGCCTAACCTAGCACACGAAGTTAGCCTGTATATATATGCAACACCACCATACACTGCTGACTGTAGGTCAGGGCAATCATACTTTCACTCTTCAAACAAAATCTGACACTGACCACCAGGATAACCGTGGCACAGCAATCTCCTGAAGTTTGGACAGCCCTAGCTCCCTTGGACACCATGATCTTGCCGAACAAACTGACCCTTAACCCGCGGTCGCTGCTCGGCTAGTAGCTTCCTGCTCTGGTATCGCACCTGCACAGCAATGTAAAAATGTAAACCACAGTTTCTACTATTCAGCAATACAACAAATTGGATTGGAATAAAATGGCAAGATTAGTTGCTTGTGACCTACCTTCTTCTCAAAGCACCTGTCTTTCCTCTTAAGCCGGAACTTGTTCAGTGCAGCCTCTCGTTGGCTCAGGTGGCGTAAACCATCAGGATTTTCAGGAACAACATTTGATGATTCAGTAGGGGCAATCATGTGGTTGGAAGAGCTGTCACAGACACTGCCACTGAGCGTTTTTCTGGCGCTGTCCAGCACAGTGCTGCTCCCACTTTCACCGGTGGTTGGAGAAACATGCCGCGGCTCATCTGTAGGAATTTCAATGCGGAGATGTTTCCGATTAGCACTTAGATGACTCCGAGCAGTTTGTTCCTCTACATTTTCAACCTGCTTAGTATCCGTATCTTTTGGACCATTCTGCTGCAGAGAAATTGCTTGTGTGGTTGCGTCTTGCCAGGTAGATGTTTTGCTATTCCAAATGGGAGGAGCTGATTGTGGATAGAAAAGGGATGCCACAGGTGCACCGTTCCAGAATGGCTGCCCATCAAATGTTAGTCCTCCAACAGGAACAGGAAATGGTACAACTCTAATGGGAGGTTGGTTTGTTTCCCTCTTGTCTTGAGAGGGAGTTTTGGAATCTCCATTTTTGTTTTCAAGATCTATATGTGTTGCCGAGGTGCTGCATGCCTGAGCATCACCAGCATTAATGGTAGATGATGCTGTCCTGCAGTTGTACCTATGAACAAGAAATGATCGGAAGTGTGAGATCTCATATGTTGGCTCTTGGTAAAACTGTGTAAAGGAGCAAGTTAACCAGTAAGTTAGATTATCTAAATGCACAAAAAGAGAGATCATACAAAAATTTCTGCTACTTCCATATTATTTCATGTTTTATTCTATGCTTGCAAGACCATACTGTAGCAAATCAAAGTAAAATATGTCTACGCATGATGGTAGGTAAATAAATGATGAAATATCAAAGACGATATTTTTTTTCTGTTATACCAGTAGGAAAAATACATCAACGCGAACATAACAACCATGCACAAATTAGGAATGACAGAATAAACGTTACAGTAAGAAACACTTACAAGGAAAATGGAGATGAAGTTGAGTGGTTCAGTGTTCTTCGTTCATTTTTCTCCTGGCTCTCTAATCTACTGTAGTCAGATCTTCTGAGAGAAAGTTCTAACTGGTGTGCTGGAATGGAAAAGCACTTGTCATCATTTCCACGGGAATTTGCTCTCGCAACATCCATCTCCATATGTGTGTTATTCTTCTGCTGATTGTCAATAATATGAACCAGCTCCATATCCCTGGAAGCTTTCTCACAATTAATATCATTTGAACATGTCATCCTCCTCAGTGATGCATCCTCTTCCCTCCGTGGAATCAAGTTGCCATCATTAGATGCTGCAAAACGAGGAGGAGGTAATATCAGGAAAAAAAATGCATTCAAAAGATAATTGATGATATGACCACTTTCAGTGTAGAAGAATGATATGGAAATAACAGAGAAAAGAATGAAGGATGTTTTATTACCATGAATTTTAGTCCCTCCATTTTTCTCGGTGTTCTTGTGGTCAGGCTTGGAGAAATGCCTTCCCATTGGCTGCTTATATTCCAGTAAATTGTTGGTTTGCCTACTGTCAGCCTCCAGTTCTGACCTTGTACATGAACTCTGCAAGAGGGGATCCAAAATTCAGTCCACGAACAACAGCGAACAGATCTGAACTCAGCATAATAACGACAGTCCCTACTGCTAAGGATATAAAGACTATGCAGTATGATGTCTTGAAGACAATAACATGCTACAGATTCAGTTCAAGTGTGTAACATCAAATATCCAGTACTTGAAACAAACAAGTATTCCGTAATAGGCTTTATCAAACTGTTCGTGTGGACCGTATTCTGATCCTGCAAGCAGCCAAAAAAACTTACCTTACTGTTGTCATATGTACTCCATTTTGCAATACCCAAGAGGACCGAACTGTGACATTTCGCTGACAAGAAAATACTATTCTCACTCAAAACACAGTTCCATTACCCACCTGACTTGAAAAATTGATAAATTAGTTCACCAACATTGATGCAGATCTGAAGGGCTAAATACATCTTTTGCATGAAGTAATACCATTTTTATCGTGTGGGTAATGAAACTGCTTTTGGCCAAAACATCAGGTGATGGAAGTGTTACAGTTCGGTCATAGCTGGGCAATGCAAAATGATACAGCACAAATCCCATACGTGGCTAATGATTGAAATTTTGTACGCAAGACTATCTTTGGGCACACATGAGCAGGAAGAAGAAAGAACAGGTAGACAACGTCATGTTAACTGATTCTAAAACTTACTTGAGCATCACTTTCTTGTTCACTGCATTCCATGTTCTTGTGGACAACATTTTCAGTCACATGTTCAGCTTTCGTCACTCCGGTCTTCTGCTCATGCCTTTCTGTAAGATTATCTTCTTGTTGAGTATGCTGCACATCAAGAACACCGCTGGACTGTAAAACAGAGTAATTGAAGTTTGTTGATTAGTTTTGTGAAAAATGCAGAATCCAAATTTTAATATATAAAAACGAGAAAGCAAATGTAGTCATGCTAAAACGTTGCAAATATGTGATCTTACCAGTTGTTTTCTCCAAACATGCTGCCATAAGTTCCTTAATTCATTCTTCCGTATTGGCTTAACAAGGAAATCTGCAGCACCCTTTAGCATGCATTTGAAAACCATGCTAACGGAATCATTTGAAGACATCACTGAGACCAATAGAAAAATGAAGCATCAGATGGAGTAATGGGATTAGAAAGATATGAGAAAGGCATGGCATAGAGTCAAGTTGGATACATACTTATGACGGGGATATTCTTGCATGCGTCATGTTCCATGATCGTGGAGAGCAGCAGGAACCCAGACATCAAGGGAAGTTCAACTTCAGTTAAAACAAGGTCTATATTGAAAGATTTTTCCTTTAGTATGTCCCACGCTTTCACACCATCAGAGGCTGCGGCAACTGCAAGACCAAATATGTTGCATAAGATCGACGAAAAACACAATAGTATAATTTAACCAAGATCCCAGAGAATACGCGAACAAACCAAGAGATCAAAAAAGAAGGAACGTGCCTAAATAACTGTACTTTAAAATAAATTTGCTTTTTTTTTGTTTTAAAAGAGGAAACTGCATTTTTCAGCTCTAACTCTGTCCCAAAAAAGGATCAAATATACAGGTAAACATTTTGCTTCAGGAAAAAAACAAATATACATGTGTAGTTATTTCAATTTAACACAAGATACGAAATGGATCGTTAAAATACAGCTATATTTTTTTCGAAAAAAAAATGATATTCGGTAATGCCTCAACTTAGGTATTCCTGACGAATAGGCTGCACTACACCAAATTTCGTCTACTGAAGCAGCTCTGGCAAAATAAAGAAAAAGAGACAGATAGCAAGGAATTACAACTACAGACCAAAATCAGCATATTGATTAACATATCTTCTGAAAAAAAAAACAGATCACAAATCGTCACATCCCAAATCTCCCCACTTGAGGTCTAATCCAGTAAAATCAGCTGCCACGTAGTAACAGTTTTACAGCGCAGAAACATCCGCAACTTTGCAACTTCACTAGTGAGATTAGCCACTCGTGACAACAATTCGAGCAAAAAACAATGAACAAAAGCAGTCAACCAATTTAACCGGATCAAAAACAAACTGTGCGGCACAGACGCTCACCTCGATACCCGCACTTGCGGAGCAGCGCGCAGATGATGTGGCGCGTGGAGTCGTCGCCCTCAGCGAGCAGCACCCGCACCGGCATCCTCGGCAGCATCCGCGTCTCCCTGCTCGACCCCGCCGCCACCGCCGCCGCATCCTCCCCTTCCTCCCCGTCCCCGTCCTCCAAGTCCACCACCTTCCTCTCCTCCACTCCACCCCCCATTCCCCCGCCGCTAGCTCCGCCCCTCGCCCCTCCTCGCCGGAGTCGCCCGCGGCGGTAACTACCCTTTCACCGCGCAAGGCGCAACCACCTCTCCTCCTCCTCTCTCTCTCTCCTCGAGCTCGCCACTAGGAAAATGGATTGGTTCGTGGGTTCGCGAAAACCAAATGCCAGTGTGGGCGACACGACAAAGCCGAAGCGGGGGGAGGAGGCGTGTGTATATACCCCCACACCACCACACAGGCAACTCCCCGTCACCGACACGTGGGCCAGTCAACCAGAGGGACCCACCCGCCAGTGGGCGAGCGAGGCGAGGCGGTGGCGGGTGGGGGTGGGAGCACGTGAGCGAGCTCCGCGCACGAAATATCTGTACTACACTCGACCGGTGGGCGGGGCCGCCACGTCACGCGCGCGGGCTGGGCCCCACGTTGACGTGGCGTGCGCGGCGTCAGTGGTTGGGATATTTCCGTTTCCCCCGCGAGATCGCGACGAGGAGCCGAGGGCTCTCGAGGCCGATATTTTCTCTCGCGGGAGGGACACGTGGTAGGCCCGGAGGAAAAGGGGACCAATCTTGCGGCCGCGCGGGACGACACGTGGCGGGTGGCGAGGCTAGGGGATTGTGGGGGAGATCGTGTGGCTGGGGATGGGCGCGTGGGCCTCCGCTTTGTTTAATCGTGCGGCTGGGGATGGGCGGGGTGGGCCCGGGTGTAGCGGTGCGAGTTTTTTTTTTTTTTTGGGGGGTGGGCTAGTGGTTGGCGTTTCGTGCGGTCCACGATAATATCTGGGCGGGTGGGGACTCGTGGTGGAGGATAATTAGCGTGGATTAAGTATGGTTTAAGGGCGGTGGAATGGAATGGGTTTAGTGTGGGTTGGAAATATCTAATTGACTCATTTGACAACCTTTGACACCGTGAGCGAGCCCGTGACGGATGTGAAGATATTTGTCAGGAGGATTCTGGAAGCGTTAGGTTTCCTCCTTATAATTAATCATACAAGTTGCAAAGCAAAAAATATTCGCTAAATTTTATGATTCCTTATCACCCACATATTAATAGTACTAATATAGTGTTGTGGTAATTGGCAAAATTACGTAGCTTGTCATATTAAGTTGTCGGTACTCAGTAGTAATATTGTGAATGCATGCTTTTTATTTTTTTTAGGGAAAATTGTGAATACAAACTAAAGAGTGGTTGTTTGTTGAGATGGGCAGACGGGGTGCAAAAAAGAATGGACGAGGTTGATTCGACCAAGTGTTGGCCTACATCAACCATCCGTGTGTCTGTGTCCTCCATGGCTCCATGCACCATCAACACCCACACACACCCACACACACGCAAAAAAGAGGTAGTACACTAGTAGTACTACTCCATATAGGAGTAGCACACTAGTAGCACTAGTGAAAACAACTTTTCGAACAAGCCGAACAATATACACTCGCCCGAAGAATATCCAAATTCCGCCAACACACATCCTGCGCCACGAGGTCCGATTCGATCCACGTCGAATAATGCCGCAGCTGTACTCCACTTACACATTGTTAAGCTACAATTACCACAAACAGTACAGTAATACTACATATAGTAGTAGTACGTAACATTGGCTCTGTCCGCTAGATATTTCCAGGCTCCAACCGACGAAGAGACGAGGAGTCTTATCGGTTGTCCATATTTTCTAATAAATTATTTTGATTTATTATAAAAAAATAATATATAATTAAAAGTTTTATATATTTGTTCATAACGACGTAAAAGGTAACGTTAAAAAAATTACATTGAAAATATTTTAAAATCAAGTTTGAAAATTAAAATTTTAGCTTTTATTTTGATTTATTAGAGCAAGTTTAATAGTATAGCCAGCTACTAGCTCCAATTCATTTATAGCCAATCTAATAGCTCATTCATATAATACTTACATACTGCCCTATTAATACATGGTCCCACCTATCATATACACACTGCGTCTTGGAGTCTATATTACAGCTGGCTATAAATCTGCAGCCCACTACCCTTCACTCTTCTTATTTATCTTCTTAAAATATATTTGCAGCTGGCTTATAAGCTGCTATTTACCTGCTCTTAGGATAACCGATGGAGCTAGAGACAAGTGGCGGCGACCGCATGCCGTGGATAATCCACGGGCCATTGGCCGTTTCGTTGCAATGATGCTGCCTCGTTGCCGAGAGGAGGAGACAGATAGACCGGCTCGCGTCGCGGCTGTTTTGTGTGGTGGTAGTCGTCGGTGGTGGGGTCGGCGGGTCTCGCTCGCTTCCGAAACAACCCACTTGGCGTGGCCGGGCGTGGCCGGCCGCCCCATGTTTCTGAGCCTCCAAGGTAGGACTCGATCGATCGATCTCACGGGAACCAAACTGACCGGATGACATGGCACGCCATCTCGCTAAATATCTTGACGGACTAACAACGCTCGCCGTTGGATGCATGGTAGTAGCAAACTAGTTAGCTGCTACCAGCCATCTTTTATTCTTTTTGGTTGTTATCGGCATAATTTTTTTTAATGTCTAGTAATATCAAAAATAGGCTAAATGCATTGTTGCAAAAAAAGTATTACTGATATTTGTAACAAATTAAATGCATTCGTATATTTGTCAATTTTATCTTAAAAATGGTATGGTCCAAAATGACATCAACTGAACAGGTTGTTGGCCAAAATTTAAATTTTAAGTTTTAATTTTGTAATTGATTTTTAAGTTTTTTTTGTTACAGGTTATTTTTTATAATGATTTTTCAAATTAATATATTATTTATAAATTGTTTTTCGAATCTCTAATAAGTATTACGGCTTATTTTTTTTGAAAGGACAGTATTACGGCTTATTAACAAAGCGAAATGACTTGCCACAAAGTTGCAAGCAACAATATCGCAATATTCGTGGGGCACTAGCTACAGTACAGTAGTTATAAATGGACAGATGGGGGGTCGAGTTCACGTGGCGCGGCATGGCGCGGCATAAACCTGTCTACGAATTTGATGACCTTCTTGTTGTTGCTGCTAGAGAAGTCATGCATCTAGGATAGTACTGGATGCAGAGATATTTTGAAACTGTGTGCGCCTCTGCTTTTCGTCGCTGGGGTCGCCGATTCGGGCGGTGGATCGATGACTGGTTGACGGTTGGGTGCTGTAGCTATAACTTGGGAGGGCAAAATGGTGGATTAATTGGATGGCTAGTTTTTCTCCTTGTGGATGGGGGCTGGACCGCTGGAACGCTGGATGGATGGACCAAACATATGGCCAAGCACGCGCGCGTGCGACACGCTCGACGACGGCCGCACGATCCGCTAGTGGCCGCGGTCCGCGATGGTGGCGCACGGACCGCCCGTGCAAATCGCCGGGAAATATCTTCGCGAGCAGAGAGATATTTTCGCCTTGATCTCGATTACGCACCCCGATCTTTTTTATGGTCGATCTCCAGGCTGTCTCTCAGTCTCTCGCGTGTTAATTTGGAGTGAGTACGTGTAAAGCCATTTTTTTCCGCGCTATGGCCAGGCTCGCAGCGGACGTCCACATCCACAGCCTCGATCGCGATTCGCGCAGCATGGGTTGTGTTTGGTTGGTTTTGCAAGGGTGGCATGTGCCGTGCTAGAATCGGACATTCCGCAATGAGACCGACGAGAGGGAGATCGCTCGATCGATCGATCAGTGAAAGGTGCTTTAGCTAGCATAGCAAGCGATAGCTAAGCAGGCACAGTGGTTGCCCGACCGGTTCGGCGAGATACTACTGTACAAGTGGATGATCGATCGAGCAGCTCGCGGGCGAGACGAAGCTCGCGGGCGAGACGAACGACAAGTGAAGCGGCCGTGGCCACTAGCTGTAGCTTTTACTAGCTCGTTCTCTTCGTGATCTCTTTGGGTGGATCGATTGAAACGTGGGGACGGAGGAAGGTCCCCATCGTTTTCTCTAATATAGCATTGCTAAATTTTGTTTTTTTAGACTTAATTTTAGTTTTTTTATCGAGATTTATTTTTTAATAATGGTATACAAGTCGCTAGGTACGTATATATAAAAATCTACCTACAAAATTATTATTATTATTACTAATACGTTGAATGACGTATGTGATGAGGACGGAGAATGCTGTGTTGTTGGAGGAAGTGTGGTGTGGTTGCTCCACGCGTGCACCGGGCGTTCTCCTTTCTCCGGTGATACGTATACACCCAACTAGGAGGCAAAAATATCTTTGCTAGGTCTGCGTGGCTGCAGTTGACAAGTCCTAGATTTTTTCGAAATATCTTCTCGATCGGTCTACAGTTCTGTGGGTGGGGACAGCTTCCTAGATATCCGGCAGAGCACTACTACTATTATCCTACCTGATGCAACCATCTGGCTGCTGGCCACATATACTCGGGTGTACATGCGTGTGGTTATGGATCGATATAATCATTTCAGGATCACTCATCAGTTAAGGTTAGTGGTGTGTTGCCGCGGGCTATTAGAATTTAGAACTTAGAACTTATAAACACTTCAATGAATGACTGTCACAGTTCGATGATGTGACTATATATGGCCGTGTTCCTCCCTCATTAAGATGTAGATTATACCTTAGATTTTGTCACCATGTTTTTTAACTGCTAAACAACGTGCTTGGTACGAAAAACTTTCTATACAAAAGTTATATAATATAAAATAATTTTTAAGTATGTAATAATTAAAACTTGATATTTTTACTAGTTAATAATTAAAACTCGAGTAATCATGCGTTAATGGTTTTATCGTTTTACGTGTGCACTTAAACTTCATTCTTATTGCACACCACTTATATATGAAATCTCATTTTTAATAATTAATATTGACTGAATTACAACTATATAAAAATAGAAAATATGTGCCGCTCTAGCTGATTTTCTTATGTGATCAATCATAAAATTCAGATATAAGATACCATATGATGTCTTGAAAAAGATATTACGAACTCTCACCTGTACGCTATCTCCTGAACAAACATAAATTCTGTTCAAATGTGTGTTTTGAGACTATTTGAAGCCAGCAGCATCACTCCATGTTCTCTCTTCCTACTCTCCATACTTGGGAAGTTGGGTTGAAGTGTGAGGCCGGGAAGAATTCAAGACATCATGGTCCACAGCCCATATGAATGGCCCGAGACAACAAGTAGCCTACTAACTATTAGGCTCCACTTTGGGCCAAGCCCATGTTTTGTTGGGCCGGAGCCTACACCAGTACACCACCATCTTCCTCGTTCGGTTCCCATCTCCCAGTTCGAGCCCACGCCATCACGGCCGCGCCGATGCTCCCGTCGCCACCGGCGCCGCCGCCGATCTCGCCGGCGCGGCTGCACAAGCTCGTGACCTCCCAGCCGGACCCGCTCCTCGCGCTCGAGCTCGTCACCGTCACCGCGCCGACCACCGCGCCCCACCCGTCGACGCTCCACGCGCTCGCGCTCCGCCTCTCCCGCCGCCGCGAACACCTCCCCCACGCGCTCGCGCTCCTGCGCCGCCTCCCGTCGCCGCCCTCCCCGCGGATCCTCCTCCCGCTGCTCCTCTCCGCGCTCCGCCTCCGCCGGCAGCCTCACCTCTTCCTCTCCACCTTCAACTCCCTCTTCGTCTCCGGCTCCAGCCCGTTGCCGCTCCACCCCGAGCTTCTCCTCCGCCTCCTCTCCGTTCTCTCTTCCACCGCTTCCTACTTCCCGTGCGCGCTGCACCTCCTCCGCGACGTCTCCACCCGCCTTCCCCTCCCCGAGCCGCTCGTCCTCGCCTCGCACAACCTGCTCATCGAAGCCGCCGCCCGCTCCGGCCACCTCGCCGTGTCAATCTCCCTCTTCCATCGCCTCCGCTCCCTCCATGTGTCTCCCAACGCCGAGACATACCGCATCCTGACCCAGTCACTATGCCGCAGGGGCCAGGTCCGCACTGCAGCCAACCTGCTCGACGAAATGCTCCACAGGGGCATCCCTGCTGACCCACTGGCATACACCACCGTGCTGAACGCGCTCTGCCGTAAGAAGCAGCTTCGAGAGGCTTACCGCTTGCTGTGCCTCATGCGAGGCCGTGAGGTCTCACCTGACATTGTACATTACAACACGGTCATCGTCGGAATGTGCCGTGAGGGACGGCCACTGGATGCCTGCAAGGTGTTCAGAGATATGAGGGAGAGTGGGTGCGCGCCAAATGCGGTGGCATATACTGCGGTGGTCAATAGGTTGTGTGTGAGTGGATTATATGACAAGGCAGAGGCATACCTTGATGATATGTTGGGCAAAGGGTTACTACCACATTTCTCTGTGTTCCATTCAGTGATTAAGGGATGCTGTGCAGTTGGGAAGGTCAATGAGGCTGCAGGGATGATGACTCGAATGCTTGATCTTGGAATGGTTCCACATGCTGAGACCTGGAGTTCAGTGATCAGGAGTGTTTGTAGTGATGAGGATAATGTCGAGGTGGTTTTGTTGCAAGTGATGAAAGGAATAAAGCACCTCTCAAACATAAATTCAAGGAGTACTTGGACATGATATCATGTGGCATGGATGCAAGGAACACCTATTTTATGGTGTGTTGTAACAATCAGTTTTGAAAGGAAACAGTAGATGATGTGCAAAATGTGGACCACAACCATTTTTCTCATCGTATGCAGCTAATTTGATATTTGAGTTTATTTGTTTATATGCAGGTTAGGAGATATTGTCTGACTTCAACTAAGGTATGCTATCCTATTGCAAGAAAAAAAAAGTTATCGCCCTTAATTAATGTGATTCATATGATTGTTTTGGTAGTACATTTTGAAGGTTGATTCTGAATTTCTGATGCTTGTTAGTTAAAGACCATACTTTGTTCTACTCTGAATCCAGTTGATCATTTATACTTTTTCTTATGCCTCTTCAATTGTGTGCATTCGCAGATCTTATAATCTGCCAAAGCCCAAAGATTTTGGTTCACCTTGGTTCATGTTTTCTGGATTTTGTTAGACCCCAGTTCTGTGTACTTTGTGGAAACTATAATGTTTTGGCAGCAGGAGCTGACTCAGCTGAGTGAAGGATCAGCAATTCAGCATGGAGATCATCTCACGGCAAATATGGGAAGCTCACTGGACGTTGGCTGAATTCCAACTGCTGTTGTCAAGGTGCATCTGATCTTCTCACGACAAGCATACACTATACATATCGTTGCAGGTGCAGACAAAGGTTTTACGACTATTTGATTTCCTGATACAACGCGGCAAAGCTGCTGGGATCTGGATGGTTCACTCGCACGGCTTGCTACATTTTTGTGCACCCACTGACCTCGTCGTACTTGCCGTGCCCGGTGGTATCCTCTCCCTGTGACTGCATAGGTAGTGCGGTACTGCCTCAGAGAGTTTTGTGTGCTGAAGTAGAGAAATTTTTGTAATTCTATTTTCACTGGGTGATGTACCTTTCAAGAATTCAAAATTACCAGCGATTACCGGTAACAGTGGCCATGCTATGTACTATGAGTCTATCTTGTATAGACTTAGAACAAGCCCCCCTTCATTCAGGAGATAAAAAAATGATGGATTCTTGAGATTTTAGATTTAAAAAATGATTATGTACACGTATTGGAAATGCAAACGTGTAATCGTATTGTACTGATTATGTAATGCCATACGGTGTCCATTGACATTTGCTTATTCACTCTGGACTACTCGTTTCGTGCTGAATCATTTGCGCCTAATTGATTAGGCCATGTCTAAATTTTGATACAAATTCCTGCTAATTTCAGAAGAGAAAAAAAAAGTGGTCATGAATAGGGTTTACCAAACCGAAGTGGTCATGAATAGGGTTTACCAAACCGTTTTCAGTGGGTTACTATCCTCGCTCGATTTGACGGTTATCACAGTAACTACCGTGGTTTAAAACTGAAATATTTACCGCACGTGATAGCCGGGCGATAACCGTGCGGTTTGTATGCGTTTCCTCCTGCGGCTCTGTTTCGTTGCGGGGGAGCCCCACCGGCCCACGGCGCGGGATCACCGCCGCCACAGAAACCTCCATAGAGATCTCCGAGCAGCCGTCCTCCGCCACAACTTTCGCCATGGTGGCGCCCTAGCCCCGCGCTTCTTATCCCGCCCCACCTATGGCTGCTGCTGCTGCCGCTGCCGCCGCCACACTCCTCCCATGGCTCTCCTCGCGCTCCGCCTCGGCCACCACCACCACCACCTCGGCCTCTCCGCCCCGCGCGACCCCCGCCTCCTCCTCCGCCGGAGGCTCGTGGTCGCCAGCTCCGGTGCCGTGAAGGCCCCCGCGGCCGCGGCGGTCGTGTGGTTCAAGCATGACCTCCGCGTCGACGACCACCCGGGCCTCGCCGCCGCGGTGGCTGCCGAGCCGCGCCGGCCCGTCCTGCCGCTCTACGTCTTCGACCGCCGCATCCTCGACGGTACGCTGCTACTACTGCGCTTGCTAGCCCCTTGCAGCAAATGTCTCACTGAGCCACTGGTTTTGGAATGCCCGGGGGCTGTGGGAAGTGTGTGCGATGTGTTCGACACAATGTCTTACGGATCGCGCGGTGGTTTGATCGGACGCTTGCACTTTGGTGTTTACTGTGTACTGTCTCTCGCGTGCCCGGTAACCTGGCTACGTTTTTTTTTTTTGCTACGTTTGTGCAAAATCTAGTGACTTTGATGCCAGGATTCGTGGTTTTGTAGAAATGTGCAGTAAACCGAAGTCGTAGGTTTTTTGGCTGCCGAATCAAAGTGTAAGCTGTGGATTGGTTGTAGTGCGGGATGATACTTTCTGGTTCTGCTAATTCAGAAATTCCCTAGCATAAAAGTGAAACATATGGTTTGCCTTAAAATAGACGCTAGTAAATGGAGAGAACAACTGCTTTTCAGTCCCAACTTCTTGAGGAGACCTGCACCTCCACTATCTGGTATGTGCCAGATCATGAAGGTTTTGATTGGAATGGACGAGATCAAGGGTGTGTTTTATCAAGTCATGCTGTGGAAATGGGTATCAGAATCTGATGTTAACATTCATATACAAGTAACAGCGTGCAAAGTTATACTGTAATCTGTATTATGCAGTGCAAGAATCCCAAGTAATCACACTGACAGTTGGCATTGACATTAGCCTTTTTATCCTTTGCAGGTTACTCAGACACGATGCTGGAACTGCTACTTTTTGCTTTGGAAGATCTTAAGATGGTTTTGAAGTCTCAGGAGTCTGATCTTCTCATAGGCTTGGGAAATGCTGAAGATGTTGTTCTCAAGCTTGTAAATGAGGTCACTATGCAAGGTTTATGTTGAGAATTGAGCTTAAGAGTTTATGCAAACCTTCACTGCTAGCCATCTAACATATCCAGATCTCCTGATTGCATGCATTGATGGAGCATAACAGGTACAAGCGGGCCTCATTTTCACAGAAGAGGAAGTTGAGTACAGAGTGCGCAATGTTCTGGCCAGTGTTGAATCATCTCTCTCTAATGCATCATTCCTATCGGGAAACCCTCCTGAGATAGTGGTTTGGAGTGCCTCATTGTATGACTACAAGGTAATTTTGTATCTCAGGTTATCATTCCCTATTGCTATCCTCTAGCAACCTAATTATGTTTGGCATGCTAAAATCATTCCACCAGAATCCGAGGGAATTGTCAACATCACACAACCAATTTTTGAAGGAAAAATTACCGATGAACACACCTCTTGCTGCCCCGTCTTTACCTGCTCTGAACATAGAGATAGAGACAGGTGTATTTCAGTTCTCTTTTTTTTTTGGTTAGTGATTATATCCTTGATCATTTTTGGTGTGTGCATTATGATACCATGACAATTTCCTGTTCAGGTTCTCTCCCCACACTGGAAGAACTAAAAGGGTTTCTTAAAGAGAGTAGAACGTCAGAGAATAATTGGGTTCCTCTCAAGGGCACATCAGCCAGATCTATTCTTAAAAAGACTCTCAGCCAGATAAATGTCAAAACCGGTGTTGCATCAAGTGGCAGCGATGGAGGAGAGGATACCACTGCATATTATGCTATGTCAGGGAGGAAGATCCAAAATTCAATGTTCACATCAGAAAGCTCAACAGAAGTTAGAGGTGGAACGGAAATCACTTTGGATGCTTTAGCTGCATACCTGAAATACCTAGAAGGAACAGGGAAGGCTAGTTGGCAAGAGTACGTCGCACCACTTCTTTTTAAAATCTAATTACATTCAGCACTATTGGTATGTTTGTAACTTTGTATTTGAAAATGTTGCCTAGCTCATAAGGTAAATGCAGTCTATGATGTCATATCAGTCATCAATGATTTTTCTGATAACAGGCTTTGTTTAAATTTCATATCCAGGTTGCATGATAAAGTACGGTTAACTGAAACTAGAGATGGTGCCTCGTTTTGCACTTTGTTTGGTCCTGCACTTCAGCTTGGAGTTATATCCAAGAGGAGAGTTTACCATGAAACTATTCAGTATGAGAGAGACCGGAATGCTGGATTTATATCACCATTTGGATACTCAACACCTACAGTGACAGCAGCAGTAGATGCTATCTGTTCAATGGAGGTACTTTTGTAACTGTCCTGTTCTCAAAACCATTCGTCCATACCTTTTCCTCCTCTTTTCGGTGATCTTGTTTTCCTCTAACAATGTCTTTCTGAACATGAAAGTGGTATTGGCTCTTGGCCTTGAAATCCCAAGTATGCATTGAAGGAAATTACCCTGTCAGAATCTGGAGATGGAAAGGTCATCTTATACAGGTACTATTAGTTAACTTCAAGATCCACACTCTCTATCTCTACTGCATCAGAAACCATAACTTATCTATGTAACAGGAATCATGTCAAATGCAAGTAGTCCTAGAATTGGATATAATTACAATCAGCAATGTTAGTCGTTAAAATGAATTGTGATGGCTTGGTCAACCACTAAAAAGGACCAATGTATTATCCTCTGAACTATTCATCTTTGCACTTGGATCCTTCCACCTTCTGGTTGCCGATACAGACCCCTAGATAGGTAAGCATAAAACATTTTCTTCTATCCCATATTAGTATCTCTGAAACTAACTAGGATTTCAGCTGAACCATTTAAAAGTTCCATCCAGCAGGGCAGCAGCTCTTCTTCCAAGCCCATATTTTTTACTGTAGAAAGTTGGAAAATCTTGTGTCCCGGTTCCCATGTTTTTGTTTTATTTGATTGCCAGGCCTTGACAAAGTTCTGCTTTGTATGGACTGTATATCGGTATTAGCGTTGTGTTTCTATATAATTAACACAGTTTTTGTTGTTAGTCTATTGCATGAATGCTATCAAATATCAATATACACAACACCTAATATGCTAGTATAGACCCCTGTTTCTGATGACATCATATTGTTTTTATGATTTTTTTAGTTCTATGTAATGCATCATGTATTCAATGTACTTGTTTTCCGCTTCCTGTATTTCCTGTGCAGCTAAGTTCCTAATTTAATTGTTTTGAAACATGTATTGGCAGTATACCTCTGTTGGTCATGAGGGTCCTTCGGTTCTTCTTGTGCATGGATTTGGAGCTTCCCTACAGCATTTTCGTGATAATATAGGTGCCATTGCTGATCAGGGATGCCAAGTTTGGGCAATTACCCTTCTTGGCTTCGGGAAATCAGAGAAACCAAATATCAACTATTCAGAACTTTTATGGTCGGAATTACTGAGAGACTTCATTGTTGATGTTGTGAAGGAGCCTGTTCATCTTGTTGGTAACTCAATCGGAGGTATATTTTGATTTATAAATCTTTCGACGTTTCTGGGGGTGATGGGCAACACATCGTTTACCCAAAACAACCTTAATTAATTCATTTCTTCATAATATTGTCAGGTTATATCTGTTCTATTACTGCCAGCTTATGGCCTTCTCTTGCAAGGTCTCTGATCCTTTTGAATACAGCTGGTTCAGTTGTGCCAAGTTACTCTTTTATTCCATTAAGTGAAGTAAGGCGACCAGCATTCACTGAAACTGTTCTACATTTGAATTATTTTAGCTAGTACATCTTATCTGAATGATACTCATAGGTCAAAGACTTACTAATATTGCATTAGTAACAGTGGCACTGGTTAGTGGCTATATGCTTGTTATAAAAAAAATGAGTGGAAATATTGTATCTTATTAAATGTCTGAGGCATTGTATTCACATGGGCTCTTTCTCATACATTTTCGTGTTACTTTAGACTTAGGACGATTGAAAATATGCACACTAAAATCTCAGCAGTTCTTTTTGGCTAACCTAGCGCAAGCTCCTCTCTTGTAGAAACTGTTGTATCATTCAAATGCAATGTGCATGTTATTTCTAGTTTGTTGGAATTATTAAAGCATTTAAAACTCTGAATAGTAGCATAGATAAGGCTAACAATTTAATGTTTCAGATACATATCTTTTGTGCTTATATCAACCAGTGTTTGTGGAATGATAATCTGACAGCAGCAAAAATAAATCGTACTATTTAGGATCGAATTTTTAGCACTGGAACTATATTACTTCCGCTACAAATTAACTCAATGCTACTGAATGAAAAATACAAACAGGAAGGACGGACTTCATGGCTTTCCAGTTTGCAGGCACGCCTCCTTCTGCTCTTCTTGAGGTCAAGAGCAGGAGGCATTCTTAAGGAATACTATCCTACAGTACGTGTATGATGTGGTTATTGCTTCCTCAAATATTTAAATAATACATGGTTACTAAGCAATACCGAAAAATTCCTGTGCAGAGAACTGAACGGGTTGACAAGCCACTTGTGGATGAGATAATAAGAGCTGTATCCTCAGATCACAAAGTATATTTATCATAGACTTAACCGTTGATATATGCAGTATAGCCTGCAATTCTTTTTCCTTGACAGACAAATTCAGTCATATGATCCTGGCGCAGCAACCGTTATTGAGAGCATATTCAGTTTCAATCTTTCCATTCCTCTCAACTTTTTATTTGATTCTTTTGGTGGAAAAATCTTAATTGTTCAGGTATTTTCTGATATAAAAAAATGGTGTGGATTCATACCGGTACCTAATTTAGTTACTGCAACATGCGGATAGCTAATACTACCTTCATGTGCTTTTTTTGGGGAAACAAGGGAATGAAAGATCCACTTACAAAATCCAAGTCATTTGTTTCCATGCTTAGGGAGCATTGCAGCAAGGTCCATATTAGAGAGCTAGATGCAGGTGAATCTCTCTCTCTCTCCTGTGCGCAAGTTCTCATTCATGAACGTCTTCAGGGGTTAGGGGTTACTGATGTTAGTTTTTTTCTTCTCATACTGAAATGTGTCAGGTCATGCTCCACATGATGAAGTTCCTGATGAAGTGAACTCCTTGCTGTGCGAATGGATCAAAGAGACTGGCGCTTAGCCAGCAATGGAGTTCCATCCTACTTAGATGTCTGGTAACCTTATCCATTAACTGACTTCTCGATTATACTAACTTGATCGTTGGAAGCATTTTTTTCTAAGAACTTGATCCCAATGTGCCCGTTGACACTTCTGTACTTTTTTTGCTTCATGTCTTAGGTGGCAAAAAGGAGATGAATATTGAACACTGTACAGAATTGTATGTGTAGATTACTTATTTACTCTTAATCTTCATATCATTTTCTGGAATTTCAAAATGAAATGCAATATATGTTGAATGAAAGGAAAAACAGCATCGAGCAGGTTTGATAGCAAGTCGGCACAAGAAGATGAGATGCAATTCGCACTCCTGATGAACTTTCTGGTGGTTCTTAAAGCTGTTTTTGTTTATGGACCTAGCTCAAAATCAACCTTGAACCCTACATTACAAGAGTTGTCTAAATCTAATCATACAAACTTTTGACCCCATCGTGCAAGTAATGTCTAATCGTGCCACATTTGTACTCTCTTGTAGTCTTGTTTTATATGGCTCGACATAGATAGAAGTACAAAATGAACTAATATTTCATGCCAATTGGGTGCATTCTTTCATCTGTTCCAAATTGTTTTTCAAGCCAGTGGCTAACACCCTACTAAACTATTCTCCAGCAAAATGAATTAATATAACTTTCCATCGAAGGAATTTCTTTAGATGTATTCTTGATGGTGAGGCCATGGAATCCTGAGTGCCTCGCTTGGGTTAAATTTTTGGGTGTAGTAGGGGTTCAATAAACGCTGAACTGGAGTGCATGCATTCTGGTGTATGTTCTTCAGTTTTTTTTTTGAGGGTAGTCATGTCAAATTTTCTGGCTAAAAATGATGTGTGGTTTGAGATATTGCCGAGTTCCTTTGAGCTTCTTTCTTTTCCCAATTTGTATACCATAACAAACTCCATAGTTTTCACTGTACTGCCTGTTTGGACTCGTAATGTGCTGTGGAATTGTAGGAACAGTTTAAAACTCGTGGGCTACTAGCTAATATGTTCGGGTATTTTACTTTTATTTTCCCTCTTATAGTATAGCGAATGCAACCGAATCTTTTTTTCAAAAATGTATTTCACTTTTCTTTGAATCAAATCAATCCATCTCTTTTCCTTGTGATCAGATTTCTTGTGCTATTGAAGCCTCTAAATGCACACACAACACACCGTGTCAAACTTAAACGAAATCCTGTTTAGCTACACATACAAAAACATCCTCCTTAGCAATAGCATGGTTTAATCTCATCATCCTGAGTATGCATTACATCAGTGCTGCGTACAAGTTCGATTCAACGCAAGCTGCCAATCACCAGAGCCTTTGGAAAGGCCATGAAACGGCCCTGTCAGTTTGATTAATCGATTAATATGATATTTTAAATAACTTTCATATAGATTTTGAAATAACAATTTAAAAATCGTGCACGCGGAACATGAGGAAGATGTGTTAATACAGGCTGCCGAACTAAGCCTAATATGTAAATTATACCTTAGATTTTGTTACCACATTTTTTTTAACTACTAAACAATGTGCTTTGTACGGAAACTTTCTATATAAAAGTTATAAAATATAAAATAATTTTTAAGTATATAATAATTAAAACTTGATATTTTTACTAGTTAATAATTAAAACTCAAGTAATCATGCGTTAATGGTTTTATCGTTTTACGTGTGTACACCACTTATATATGAAAGCTCATTTTTAATAATTAATATTGAGTGAATTACAACTATATAATAATAGAAAATATGTGCCGCTCTAGCTGATTTTCTTATGTGATCAATCAAATTCAGATACCATATGATGTCTTGAAAAAGATATTACGAACTCTCACCTGTACGCTATCTCCCGAACAAACATAAATTCTGTGTAAAATGGGTGTTTTGAAAGTTGAAACTATTTGAAGCCAGCATCACTATTCACTCCATGTTCTCTCTTCCTACTCTCCATGAGCAAGTTTAATAGTATAGCCAACTGCTAGCTCCAAATCATCTATAGCCAATTTAATAGCTAATTTATACAATAGTTGCTTACTATAGAATTAATGCATGATCCCACCTATCATACACACATTATGTAATAGTTGCTTACTATACAATTAATGCATGATCCCACCTATCATACACACATTATGTAATAGTTGCTTACTATACAATTAATGCATGATCCCACCTATCATACACACATTATGTCTTGGAGGTTGTGCTGCAACTGGCTACAGATATATAGCTCGCTGTTCTTCTCTCTTATCTTTTATCTCTTTAAAATATATTTATAGGTGACTGATAGTCTGCTATTGTACTTGCTCTAATTGGGTAGTTGGGTTGAAGTGCGAGGCCGCAAAGAATTCAAGACATGGTCCAGAGCCCATATGAATGGCCCGAGAGAACAAGTAGCCCTCCTAACTATAAGGCTCCACTTTGGGGCCAAGCCCATGTTTTGTTGGGCCAAAGCCTACGCCAGTACACGATCATCTTCATCGTTCGGTCCCCGTCTCCCAGTTCGAGCCCACGCCATCACGGCCTCGCCGATGCTCCCGTCGCCACCGGCGCCGCCGCCGATCTCGCCGGCGCGGCTGCACAAGCTCGTGACCTCCCAGTCGGACCCGCTCCTCGCGCTCGAGCTAGTCACCGTCACCGCGCCGACCACCGCGCCCCACCCGTCGACGCTCCACGCGCTCGCGCTCCGCCTCTCCCGCCGCCGCGAACACCTCCCCCACGCGCTCGCGCTCCTGCGCCGCCTCCCGTCGCCGCCCTCCCCGCGGATCCTCCTCCCGCTGCTCCTCTCCGCGCTCCGCCTCCGCCGGCAGCCTCACCTCTTCCTCTCCACCTTCAACTCCCTCTTCGTCTCCGGCCCCAGCCCGTTGCCGCTCCACCCCGAGCTTCTCCTCCGCCTCCTCTCCGTTCTCTCCTCCACCGCTTCCTACTTCCCGTGCGCGCTACACCTCCTCCGCGACGTCTCCACCCGCCTTCCCCTCCCCGAGCCGCTCGTCCTCGCCTCGCACAACCTGCTCATCGAAGCCGCCACCCGCTCCGGCCACCTCGCCGTGTCAATCTCCCTCTTCCATCGCCTCCGCTCCCTCCATGTGTCTCCCAACGCCGAGACATACCGCATCCTGACCCAGTCACTCTGCCGCAGGGGCCAGGTCCACACTGCGGCCACCCTGCTCGACGAAATGCTCCACAGGGGCATCCCTGCTGACCCACTGGCATACACCACCGTGCTGAATGCGCTCTGCCGTAAGAAGCAGCTTCGAGAGGCTTACCGCTTGCTGTGCCTCATGCGAGGCCGTGGGGTCTCACCTGACATTGTACATTACAACACGGTCATCGTCGGAGTGTGTCGTGAGGGACGGCCACTGGATGCCTGCAAGGTGTTCGGAGATATGAGGGAGAGTGGGTGCGCGCCAAATGCGGTGACATATACTGCGGTGGTGAATGGGTTGTGTGTGAATGGATTATATGACAAGGCAGAGGCATACCTTGATGATATGTTGGGCAAAGGGTTACTACCACATTTCTCTGTGTTACATTCAGTGATTAAGGGATGCTGTGCAGTTGGGAAGGTTAATGAGGCTGCAGGGATGATGACTCGAATGCTTGATCTTGGGATGGTTCCACATGCTGAGACCTGGAGTTCAGTGATCAGGAGTGTTTGTAGTGATGAGGATAATGTCGAGGTGGTTTTGTTGCAAGTGATGAAAGGAATAAAGCACCGCTCAAACATAAATTCAAGGAGTACCTGGACATGATATCATGTGGCATGGATGCAAGGAACACCTATTTTCTGGTGTGTTGTAACAATCAGTTTTGAAAGAAAACAGTAGATGATGTGCAAAATGTGGACCGCAACCATTTTTCTCATCGTATGCAGCTAATTTGATATTTGAGTTTATTTGTTTATATGCAGGTTAGGAGATATTGTTTGACTTCAACTAAGGTACACTATCCTGTTTCAAGAAAAAAAAAAGCTATTGCCCTTAATTAAGCATGTAGCGCTATTGATATTGAGTTCTAGCACTGTTTTGGTAGTACATTTTGTATGTAGATTCTGAATTTCTGATGCTTGTTAGTTAAAACCATACTCTGTTCTAGTAGTAATTTTCAAATACATTTACTCTGAATCGAGTAGATCATTTACTTTTTCTTATGCCTCTTCAATTGTGCTTTCCTGTAGCTGCAACGGCAGCACCCAGATTCTGCATTCGCAGATCTTATAATCTGCCAAAGCCCAAAGCTTTGATGCCAGGATTCGTGGTTTTGTAGAAATGTGCAGTAAAAACCGAAGTCGTGGTTTTTTCGGCTGCCGAATCAAAGCGTAAGCTGTGGATTGGTTGTAGTGCGGGATGGTACTTTCTGGTTCTGCTGATTCAGAAAAGTGAAACATATGGTTTGCCTTAAAATAGACGCTAGTAAATGGAAAGAACAACTGCCTTTCAGTCCCAACTTCTTGAGGAGACCTGCACCTTTACTTATGTGGTATGTGTCAGATCATGAAGGTTTTAATTGGAAGGGATGAGATCGAGGTGTGTTTTATCAAGTTATGCTGTGGAAATGGGTATTAGAATCTGGTGTTAACATTCATATACAAGTAACATCGTGCGAAATTATACTGTAATCTGTATTATGTAGTGCAAGAATCGCAAGTAATCACACTGGCAGTTGGCTTTAACATTAGCCTTTTTATCCTTTGCAGGTTACTCAGACACGATGCTGGAACTGCTACTTTTTGCTTTGGAAGATCTTAAGATGGTTTTGAAGTCTCAGGAGTCTGATCTTCTCATAGGCTTGGGAAATGCTGAAGATGTTGTTCTCAAGCTTGTAAATGAGGTCACTATGCAAGGTTTATGTTGAGAATTGAGCTTAAGAGTTTATGCAAACCTTCACTGCTAGCCATCTAACATATCCAGATCTCCTGATTGCATGCATTGATGGAGCATAACAGGTACAAGCGGGCCTCATTTTCACAGAAGAGGAAGTTGAGTACAGAGTGCGCAATGTTCTGGCCAGTGTTGAATCATCTCTCTCTAATGCATCATACCTATCGGGAAACCCTCCTGAGATAGTGGTTTGGAGTGCCTCATTGTATGACTACAAGGTAATTTTTTATCTCAGGTTATCATTCCCTATTGCTATCCTCTAGCAACCTAATTATGTTTGGCATGCTAAAATCATTCCACCAGAATCCGAGGGAATTGTCAACATCACACAACCAATTTTTGAAGGAAAAATTACCGATGAACACACCTCTTGCTGCCCCGTCTTTACCTGCTCTGAACATAGAGATAGAGACAGGTGTATTTCAGTTCTCTTTTTTTTTTTGGTTAGTGATTATATCCTTGATCATTTTTGGTGTGTGCATTGTGATACTTGTGGGCTACTAGCTAATATGTTCAGGTATTTTACTTTTCTTTTTTCCTTCTTGTAGTATAGCGAAGGCAACCGAATATATTTTTTTTTTCAAAAATGTATTTCACTTTTCTTTGAATCAAATCAATCCATCTCTTTTCCTTGTGATCAGATTTCTTGTGCTATTGATGCCTCTAAACGCACACACAACACAGTGTCAAACTTAAACGAAATCCTCTTTAGCTACACATACAAAAACATCCTCCTTAGCAATAGCATGGTTTAATCTCATCATCCTGAGTATGCATTACATCAGTGCTGCGTACAAGTTCGATTCAACGCAAGCTGCCAATCACCAGAGCCTTTGGAAAGGCCATGAAACGGCCCTGTCAGTTTGGTCACCTTCTCCCCTCAAAAAGAACTGAAGCATTAGCACTCCATGACAGCAACTGAAGCATTAAGCACACCATGACAGCAATCTGGCCCCCCCTGTTCTGTCTAGAGTGACATCCTTTCATGACAGTCACTCATCATACATGCTGGAGTATGTACTTATCTAGCATCCTTTAGCTTTGATGATGTATGTAGAGCCAACCTTCTGAGTGACTTTGCATGATAACAAAGCAGCATAAGTACTTAGAACCAGCATCAGCCATTGGTATTAGTACCTCTTGCCCATTATTACATTTTGTTATTCTTTATTTGGTGGCCATCTCAAAAATGCTTAAGCAGAGTTCCCATCAGTGAGGCCATAAACAAATTAAAGCTCTGATTAGGATTACCCAACCAACCCACCTTATCTAAGCACAAGCTTTCTTTCACCAGGGCCTTGTCTTTGAGTCTCACCAAACCTGACAGTGACACAAGCAATTAATCCTGGCCTCTGAAATATGTCAAGTTGCAGATGACACCAATTCCTTTTGACAAGTTACTCCTTATCATCCCTTCTTCCTTCCTGCCCCCTAATGATAGGCTAAGGTCCTATGCTCAGTAGATTATGTATTATGGATTACCACACCACGCTTCCCGAACCCCTAATGAACGGTACTATATGTTTTACAAAAACTTTCTTCATCAACAGTTTTAAGAAAACCTTTTCAAATCGACTTATCAACCAATATTTACTTCATTCATTTGCATCCTCAAATAATATGATCATAAACTCAATTTCAGTTTATCATCCATCTTATGCTAAGAACGCCCTTCAAGAGATCGTTTACACAAGAGGAGTGAAAGAACATGTAGTTAGTGATTGCAGTGAGTAGCAATCTAAGACCCTAGCTTCGAATCTTCGTAGGAGCAAATATCATATTGGATTGTTTGAGGGGCTAAATTTTCAATTTAAATAACTGTGTATATTCGGTTGGATTAGAGGCCGAATAAAAATTAACCATCTCTAAAAAAAATATTTACAAAAGAGGTAAAAAGCAAGCTACTAATTACTTGTTGCTATCAAATGGCCACCACTAGGAGTAGTACTAGTGTACTACTAGCCCTGTTGCTTGCTCTCTCTGCAATCCTCCTCGGATTTGTTAATGATTCTGTTCTTTTTTTTCATTTCGCCCTTGTCATGCCGTCTGATCACGTGCTGTGATGGATGTTAACAAGCTATTGCTCCTGGGCCACCAGCTCGATTTTGGCTCTGCTATCTGCTGCATTCTCGCTGTCTCCTTCGTGACGCACTCGATCCCCCTCTCGCCGGCTAGATTTCTTGGGCAGTTGCTACGCTACCGCCTCGCTCGCCGACGTGTGTGCCGGGCAAATCGAAAGGCAAGGATCCCGGCGAGCGCACTCCCGGATCGGATGGTGAGATCTCTCTGGGGCCTTTTTGCAGGGCACACTTGGCATCTGCTTCTTCTGATGCGGATGTTTCTCATGATATTGCGGTAGCTAGATATGCAATTGATAGTGCAGCGATAAGGGGTGTATAGTTTCAACATCAAGGTCCTATATTTAATTCCAACGCGCTCACAATTTCTTCTTTAAAAAAATGTTTGGAGGGACATCTCTTCAAATCTAGTTTTTTTGACGCATACATTTCTCAGGGTAAATATCGGTACCTCTTCTACTCTATCTTCCATAAACTAGCTACTTGCCTGTAAATTCTAACAGGTCAGGCATATATAATGTATGTTTGGCAGAGCTCCAACTTTTAAATTTAGCTTCGGGAGACCAGCTCCACTTTCATTTTGTGAAAGTGCTCCAACTAGCTCTACTCCCATTTTAGGTAGAGTTGAAACTGTTTTACTGTGAGCTGGAGCTGTGCCGAACAGACCCATAACCAGAGAGAAAAAGTTGTTACTTTTCATGTACGGACGCTTAAGCACCTTGAGATAGTAGAGAATGACTTTGTTTTCAAGAAGTAGAGGTATAAACATTTCTAACGTTTAAAATTTACAATTCACCACCAACGCCAACAAAATGGATGGAATCACTTGAAAGCTCACGAGTTACGGAGAGTACTGGACCGATCCACCTATAAAGCGCAGTTCCTCGGCTTCATTAACACGATCATTTAGAAACCTTGCTACCCGCTTTGCCGATACACCCTGGAAAGTAGAAACATTCTTTTCACCTCGTCATATACACAAGGAGAAACTCATGTGAGCAACTCAAGCTGACAACGTGAAAACACAACAATGATGGTCCACTAGTGGTGCTACTGGCCAAGGTATATTAAAAAAAGGGTCCGCGCTCTCATCCTACTAACAGTATAGGAAATATGGAAGGAGAAAAAACATAGAGTGTTTTAACGCAAGGGGCTCTTGGCAATAGCTAATAGGTTGCCAAAATCAAGGAGACTAACATCCTCATCTTTTTGCTAAGGCTTATACTTATCAACTAAAATTTAAAATTTAAATCTTAAATTTGAAGTTGATTTTGGGTTTTTTTATCGAAATTTATTTTTCAGCCTTTGCTTTTTAGATAGTTAAGAACACGTATATAAAGGTTTTATTCACAACTTATTTTTTATTTGCAAATATGCCGTTTGGCTTATTCACCGAATAAGCGAAACGATTGGACTGTATAACCTAGGACCTAGCATGAGCAAAACGACTTCGGAGCTTTTTTTTTTTGAAAGGTTTCGGAGCTTATTCTTTAGCTTTGTTCTACTTTTTTTATAGTTCTCTTTCACACGTATACAACTCTTCTTTTTCTCTTATTATATTTAAAAGTAAATTTCATAAAACTTGAAGTAGTTTAATCAATCTATCACAAAACTACAAATTTTTAATAACATGTATCACAAAACTACAGATTTAACATCATAATTTTTTTATATAAAATTACAGATTTAAGGTATGATATAAAAAAACTACAGATTTAACGTCACTTTTATCACAAAAACTACAACTTCTATAACACCAATAGTGCTAAGATATAAACTCTAAACTAAATCTATAGTTTTGTGATATGATGTTTTAAATCTATAGTTTGTGATAAGTTTGGTGCTAAATCTGTAGTTTTGTGATACATATCTTTAAATATGTAGTTCTACGACAGTTTGATCAAAGTATATGTAGTTTTGTAAAATTTACTCTATATTTAATTAATGAAATTGTCACGATCTAGTACGGTTCGTTCATTTGTTTTTATTTCTAGCATACTACTTCCCAATCCAACCGGCCACTGTTCATGATTATCTATATTTACAGATGTATTGCTAGGCACGATTTTTTTTAATCAAGTAAATTTCTAGTGAATATCACCTTAAGTTTAATTTTAAACTCCTAAAAGTGTATATATCCGTGGATGGAGGAAGTAGATGCCTTCTCCTTGAACAAATTGGAAGTGGTCGTATTACTGCATTCAAAGACATGTGTTGAATGTTCTAAAAAAAGACATGTGTTGAAATGTCATAGGGCAATTGTTGGATGAGTTAGAATATATTTATTTAGCTCGAGTCTGATTTGCTGAACATAATAAATTAATAATTAATAGACTTCTAAGAGTGACTTTAAAAAATAAGGACAGTTGCTCCAAACTAGCCCTAGTTAAGTCAGAAGGGAAGATGGATAAGATGCAGGTAAATGTTCATTTTTGGTATATCCTTTTGGCTTGTTCTGCAGAAGATACAAGCAAGTACATGTCACAGTATTAGTTGGAAATCAACAGGCTGGCTGTTGGATTTGCAGATTAACTTAAAAGAGACTGTCACTTGCGAAGTTGGTATGACTGCAATTGCCGCTCTTCGACCCTCTAAACGGATGATGAGGCAAATGAATGATCCCGCGAATATATCCTCTAACATAAAGAAAAAAAAAACAGATAAAGGCCATAAACAAACTCTGAAAGAAAAGTGTTACAACATTTTATATCTAGCCAGTAATAAATATATAGTACCAAAGCTTACTGGTCCATCCATCCGTATGACTATGTTCTGAACCTTCAAAACATGAAAGAGTCATTTGGTTACAAAATTGACTTTAGTTATGAGTGCAACTTGTCGTACAAAGGTCAATGGTCTTGGTGTGTTCTTATGTGGTCTCTAACTACTACAAAAGAAAATCATCCGCATACTTTTAGGCTGTGTTTAGATCAGAGGTGTAAAGTTTTAGTGTGTCACATCGGATATACGGATACATATTTAAAGTATTAAACATAGACTAATAACAAAACAAATTACAAAATCCTCCTGTAAACTGTGAGACGAATTTATTAAGCCTAATAATCCGTCATTAGCAAATGTTTACTGTAGCACCACATTGTCAGATCATGGAGCAATTAGGTTTAAAAGATTCGTCTCGCAATTTACACGCAATCTGTGTAATTAGTCATTTTTTCGTTTATATTTAATACTCCATGCATTCATGTGTCCAAATATTCGATGTGATTGGGTGAAAAATTTTAACAGGTGATCTAAATAAGGCCTTAGTCTATACTACTGCATTTGAGGTCTCATTTATGTAGAGTATTTATGGAGAGAAGCTTCAGAAATTTTCTAAAAGACTAAACTGTCAAAATAGTACAATACTAGGACTTCTTATATTGCAGTTGTAACTATCGCCATAATTTATTAGAGCTGGCAAGTTTCTACTCTTCGTTCTTAGTTAATTCTCCATCAATTCATTAAGGCAACATCCAAGTTACTGATTAAATCTTACTTTGGATCCTTCTGAAGCATTTCAAATGTCACTGATTGTGAAATTATGCTTAGTGTAATGTTGCCGTAGACCCGTCAAAAAAAAGTTCACAATTATTACTCCCTCCGTATTTTAATATATAACATCATTGATTTTTTATAAGTTTGAATATTCATCTTATTTAAAAAAAATATGTAATTATTATTTATTTCATTATGCCTTGATTTATCGTTAAATGTTCATTACGTATGACTTATTTTTTTTATATTTGCATAAAAATTTTAAATAAAACGAATGGTCAAACATTTGTAAAAAACGAACGGTGTCGTATATTAAAAAAAAGAGGTAGTAACACTAAAGATGATTATTTGGTTGTTACAGTTACAAGCACAATGCTTACGAAAGACATCGACTGATATGCTTCTTTCTTCTGCAGAACATTCTAACAATCATCACTTAAATAATATACTATACTGACGATTTTGCTTATAGAGAAGAATCAGTCACAAGATGATTGGGTTTCAATTTTGTTTCACTGGATCATCAATCAGCTGGGATTAGCAGAAAAGAAACTTGCAGCGAGTTTACACGTTTGTTTCTTGCTAAGAATTGAAGATCACGTACGTATCATCTACTCCAGCTAGCTTGTGTAGACGTCAACTCCAAAGAGAGAGGATTAGAGATTAGAGAAGCTATCTAGTAGCTAATTAACATGGCTTACTTGTCATCATTAGCATTTTTTTTCTTCCATGCAAATTAAGGCTTGCCATTGCCAACTTCAGATGGACAGACGACAGCCATATCTTCAGATTAATTACACGTCGTTTTGCTGCATATGCACGTATTGCATGCCGTGGATCTAATTTTCAGCGAACATTTCTACATTTGTTTCTTTCTTGCAAAAAATGGACATGACGATAGGATATTATATGCAGTAAACTGAAGGATTAGAGGGCCACATGTTGCTGCTGATATTATGTTCATCAGTCATCGTCTCTCATTGATATCTTTCAGCAGTTTCTGAAGACTGAAGTTGCTGCTCAAGGCAAGTCTTGGTCTTGCTTAATTGGAACGTGAAATATCTTGAATTGTTGTGGGTCTATGCATCTTTCTATCATTAAATTTTGTGTCAAAAATCTAGCGAGAATGTTCTACATCACGCTAGTTAAGAAGCTAGCTACCCCTCTATCGTTTGCTTGTTTTGTCAGACAATAGCCAAAATTTAAATTATGAAACTTAATTTTAGATTTGATTTTTAGGTTTTTTTTCATAGTTTATTTTTCAGTATTGGCTTTAGTTTTATGCACAAATTATTTTTTGTTGTATCATTTATTTTTTTTCAATATAAGCCGTAGAGCGAACATAATGTTGTGAGTAATATATTGACGACCAAAGGGAGTAAATATTTATATAGTGGCAAATATACCTTTTGTCTCCTTCGACTCTATAGGGTGTCGATCTCACTGTCGTGCATCTTCTCTATGATCTTTTCAGCTCTCACATCTCCGGTAAAAATCCATAGCACATCTCTCAGAAATTTTGCATATCACATCGAGCCAAATCCTTTTATTTTTAAGTTCAAAAAAAATCCTTTTATTTTTACCTTTTCACTTTGTGTTCTTTGGGTTGCTTGCTTTCCTTTTCGTTTACCCCTTTCACTCCTTTTTCTGGCAAACAAGTTTGTCAAAACTATAGAATAAAAAATGTTGTCTTCATCAACTAGTGCCGTAGTATATATGTAACTTTATTTGTCCAACTCAACTGCACCGTTGAATTAGGGATACCTAGCTACCTACTCAATCGTTAATAACTATCATTAAGAAACAGATAAATAACCATCATGCAAGTGATTAATTAACAGGTTATAATATAACTACTAAAACCTCACCAACTCTTCACAGAGAAATGTTCTAAAAAATAGATTCACTAATTAAGTAAAGTAAGCAACACACGTGCATGCTTTGCACATAAGAATGTACCCTACAATATCTGAACTCATTAGCAGCACATACACCATTGTATATATACACAAACTAGTGAGCTAATATTATTGTACATTACCCACCCACATCTTTTATTGAAAACATGTATAGGTACTACACCAACAAATAGTTCTATCTCTCCAAAAAAAAAACAAAGATCTAAGTATCTCCATTTGAGAAGTAATAACACTTCTAGTTAATGGCACAAACCCCCGAATCAATCTCAAGGGGAAAATACACAACAACATGCACCATCTACGCATACCCTCTCTCAAATGCATCAATCCCAACCGTTGATTGGTTTTCCGAAGAGCAAAGGCCTCGACTTGTGATCACCCTCCGATCTTGGCCGGCCATGCCTAGCTGCTTTCACAATCTTGATGCTTTTATTAATTATACACTTCACTTGATTATCTACACTGATAGCAACACAATTAAGTAAGCTGCTGACATCTTCTAGCTAGAAGTTGGACCCATTTGAGCTGTTGACCATGGAGGCATCGACCACCAAGCTCGAGTCTCCCATCCCAAAATCTTGGTAGTCGAGCAGCCAGTCCGTCGTCATGCCGACGTCCCACGGCAGCGCCGGCGTGGCGCCGGTGGCGGCGATGCTACTGAACTCGTCGACGTCGTTGCTGGCCGTGAAATTGAGCCATGGCTCGTCACCGGTGGGCAGCAGGTCCTCTTCCAGCAGCCACTTCACCAGAGGGTCCTGGTGATGGCTACTGCTGCTGCTGCTACTGCCACCGGCGGTGCTGGCGGTGTTAGTGCTCGACTCCGGCGGGCTGTCGCCACCGGCAGACACGGACATGTCCCTGACGACGGCGTCGTCAAGCTGCCGGCTTTGCTGCCTGGTCGCCTCGCCGGACTTGGACGACTCCGCCGTGACGGTGGACTGCGAGGTGGTGGCCGGGCTCTCCTGCTTCCGGTCGAGGGGCTCGTGCGTCACCGGGTCGATGCCCATCTTGATGAGCTTCTTCTTGATGTGCGTGTTCCAGTGGTTCTTGATCTCGTTGTCCGTCCTGCCCGGTAGCTTGGCAGCAATCTTGGACCATCTGCATAGACACAATTAACATCAACAATAGAAAAGTAGTAGTGATTAAGTTTGTACTAGTAGTAATTCTCACGGAGACATCATGCATACGTGCATGCTTAAGTAAGAATGAAAATTATTTACTGATGGGAATGTTTACGTAGCACACGACTGAAAAAAAAGGAATAATGTCAATTTCGTAACAGTAGTTAATTTGGATGGAGAAACCAGTTGGTGATTTCAGCCGGGTGCGCTATGCATTCACTTTTAATTATATTTCTAAAAGATAGATAGAAATAAAAAAAGCAATTCATCCTTGTCAATCATTTTCGCAGGTACCCCGGCTTGCTGATGAAACATTGAAACCGCATGGAATTACCATTTCTACACCATGGAATAAATGGTGCAGATGCCTGTTCTGTTAATCATTAGAGTTTGAGGGAGACATGGAAGTATGATGACTGACCAAACTTTACTTTCTCCATAATTTACTGCCTAGGAGCATTTCTTATGCAAGTTTTTACATAGCCGTGAAAACATGCCACCACTTTCATAAGCAAATAGAAATATTTTACTGATTTGAAGCGCAACTCTCAATTAACTAGAGATCACAACCCATCTCTATCTCATTTGTTTCTTTAAGCTATCTAAGGAGTAGCCTTTTAATTAAGAGTGACAAAACAACAAAGGGGTTGGTAGTGTACTTTTTAAAAAGCTTTCTTCCATTTTCCAATGAGGCAACTGGACCTAAGAGGATGCTTTCTATTTCTGAATCAACGTGTAGGGTTCTCTTAGCCACAGAAATCAAGCTAGTGGGAGCCAGCGCTCTAGAATGCACATCAAGAAAGTGAAACAAGAAATTTCCAATGTTCTTCTGCGAGACTATTTTCCATGGCTACGAAATTGTATGCCACTTGGACACCATATAACAGCTAAGGATATAGAGTTCAGCGGTTGTGTCTAAGAGCTGTCATAGAAAGGCTTTTATGCTACTCTCTAGTTTACAAGGAGCATATCTAATATGTGTAAACCCATAATTAATTCAGTGTTGACATAAAAAAATCAAAACAATAAATAAGTAACATTAAATTTGGAGAAAGAAAATATTGTGGATCTCATTGTGTAGTACAGTCCTTTTGTTTCTTCTACATTTTTTTTCAAAATATCGGTATCAGTTGGTACGACAGTGATTTGCACAAAAATTAGCTATCTTCTGCCAAAAGTAAAAGTAGGCACTTAATTAATTCTCCATAACAGGGACCACAATTAAGCATGTTCATACTTGGCTAATCTTGTACATCTCCCCTCCATCATTGAGAAACTAATACACGCATGTGTTGTTTGATGTTTCCTCGTACTATGGCAATAGGTCACCAGCATGTCATATGCTTCTCCTACCAGTGTGGTGCTATCTTTTTTAAAAAAAAACTTTACAAATCTGGAAGTAATTATATTATTATTTTTTTGCTCCAAATTAGATTATTTATTAAATTTCCATTTTAGTTGATTGAAGAATTGTGTGCTTAATTTTTCTTAAGAGCATTACATGATGGAATCAAGTGCTGTTCAAACTCCAATAAATAGCTTCTACTATCTAATATATAACTCATCAGATTCTTCTAATAAAGAATCTAAACAATGAATGAATTGCAAGCGGCCAGTCACTTGTATTTTCTTTACAATATTGTTCTTTGGGTTTAAATTAACTGTTGGGCTTACAATATTGTTCTTTGGGTTTAAATTAACAAAAGCAAGCTAGCTAGGTCAACAGTGCGCAACTACAATTATCGTCGTTTTGCACACTTCTAGTTTTTCCTATCAGATAGCTGGCATATAATTAACTTTTGCTATAAAGAAAATGCATACGTGCTAACCTCGTGTTTGGTTTGGATCATACAAAACAAAGATAGATAGAAAATAGTGTGATTCTAGATAAGGTTTTCCATTCTGTCTTCTCCACGTTATATCTATGCATGGCGATCGAAAGTTCTAGATTCTGACTGGCCGGCCTTCACCAGTGTAGAAAGTCTCGTTTCTTAAATGGATTTCTCGTGCAAGTAGGGTTACTATGTGCTACTGCTAAATATTCCAAGCTATGTTTTGTCTCCTTCAAAGCAAGAAACAAGTAATCCACACCTTAGACAGCGACATGAAATGCATGCGAGTTAGAGGCCAGAGTCTACCCTTAATTTGGCTGCTAACCTGTGATGGTTACATTAGGGAGTTTTCTTCCATGGTTTTACCAACCAGTGGACAGTAATTCGTACGTTTGATCCTGTGTGTTGACAAGGAACGTACCTACGCGCTAATCCATGGGATTAATTACTTCATCGTATACTGGGTAAGATACTTTCTTGGCGACGTAGTACACATGGAGACAAGTCTGCTAGCTTGCGTATGACAGCAGTAGTAGTAGTGATGAAGGTTTACGTACCTACGTGACCGTGATGTCACGTACATGTAAGCGCTATATACACTTATTTAATTAGTTCACATGAGTGATTGACGACCTATGAGCTTCATTGTCAAAGTACTGTAATTTGGTGGCTTTGCGACCTCACACATTGATGACAGCCACACATGTCGTCAGTCGTCTTCGTATCAAATAATGGGCATGCAGGTAGCTAACATACAGTACTAGTAGTAGTTCTCTCAATTTCTTGGACCTTATTAAATTACTATACGGTGTTAGTTATTACCGCTATCAAACTGCTAGTACTACTGAGCTTTTTAATGATCTACTCCTATTTGTATAGAGAGTTAATCCAGCTCTATCCACATCAAAATCCTATATGGTTACCCGGCAAAAGAAAATCCTATATGGTTTAAGATGGCACAGTGCATATGCATGAAAAATCTATTAGCGTTTGTATGCATGCATTTGCGTGTGTGGGCTAGACGAGGTAGAGCAAGTAACGTAGGTGTGTGTATATGCATGGAGAAGGGGGTACCTGTTGCCGAGCTTGGCGTGGAGGTCGATGACGAGCTGCTCCTCGGCGTCGGTGAGGAGGCCGCGCTTGAGGTCGGGGCGGAGGTAGTTTGTCCACCGGAGGCGGCAGCTCTTGCCGCAGCGGAGCAGCCCGGCGAGCTTCGGCACGGCGCGCCAGCAGCAATGGCCGTTGGTCAGGATGAAGCTCATCAGCTTCTTGTCCTCCTCCGCCGTCCACGGCCCCCTCTTCACCCCCAGCTTGTCGCAGCACGGCTGCCTCCCCATCCTTTATATATACACACGTACTGCTCCTCCTCCGCTGCCGGTGATCGCCGCCGGGAAAGTCGACCACGGCGAGCTGGAGCCGCTGCTGTTTCGAATAGGCAGAGGCGAGGCAGGTTAAGTTAATTGATTAGCTAGGCGTGCATCAAAGCAAAGGGGGTGGGGGCGTGACAAGTGCCTCGCAACTGCAACCGGAGCGTGCGGGTGGAAGGGCGTATATATAGCTAGGCCCTCCTGCTCCAAGCTCTTTTTAATCTCCGGTGATGGCGACGGCGGCGACGGAGGCAGCTCGCTGACTTAGCTGCGCCCACAAGGCTAAACACCACCACCACTTGCAGTGCTGCACACACACAAAAAAAAGAAGAGATTTTGATACGTGTAGAGGGCTCAAGGAGTAGTTTGCGGCTTGTGTCGCACACCTGCATGCACCCCGCCCGGCCTGGAGACTGTTCCTCGATCGACGCTCTCCTGAGAAAGAAAGAGTAAGAGATCAATATGTCAAGATACATTGGTACAGTCTCAAGCTCTCACGCACTCTTGAGTAAGGGAAAAAGTGACTTTCCAGATGATGCTACAGAGCTTGCACGTTAACTTTGGTGCGTTATCGATGGATGAAAATGATTTTTATGGTAATTATTCAACATAATAAAAAAATAAACTATTGATTAAAAATAGTTCTCTGAAATATTGATGGAAAAAGTTTCTATAAAACTCATACCGTTTAGAAATACTAGTAAACTAAGTAAACATGCTCACAATAATCCATAATCTGTAAGCTACCGAGAATGCCCCTTGAAAGATCGATTAAATTATTATTACACTAATCCTCCTTCCGTAACTTCTTAGAATTTTTTTCTCAAATATAACAACATAGTAAAAGGTGATTTTTATTACTGAACTATCCTTAGTTATATTATCGTCCAACTAATCCAGACCTATAGGCTATACCACCACACAACCTTTACTCCTCCTTTAATAGCTGTGTAAATGGTTAAAACTTATTATATTTTGGGACGGAGATAATATTATTTTATTTTCTTAATTTTGCATCAATCTCAAGGCATGTTGGATGGTAGATCAATCGTTTACCTCTGCTTCAATAAGCTGCTGCATCCGCGCGCTGCAAATTAAGATTTCCTTTTTCAGAGGGTAAGTGTAAACATCAGCAATAACGTACCTCCACCACACAAAAGCTACAGTCCGGTGTCGCTGAAGGCTTTGCCACTTCCGTTCCCCACGGTTGCATGTCTGCCTGCCCGCCCACCTTGCCGTGGTTGCGCCCTTACGCAATGATCCCATCAACCATTCCGTCAGCCACAAAAAACCACGGCCCCGGCAGAACAGGCATGCAAAGTGGTAGATGCAATGCAAGCCTGCAACTCGCAGCGCTCAGCATGCAGCCCAGCCAACCTCCTCGGAGCAAGTGGCATCGTCGTCGACGTCGTAGACGGTCGCCATGAGCAAGCAACCTCGCTCAGCCGTGTGTCCAGATGGCCGGAACGGGTACATGCTTTGTACGACGGCGACCTCTGGCCCGGGAAAGAAGACTCGACGAACCACAGCTGCAGCCAGACGTCTCGTGTCAGCCATACCGATACGATCCGTCAGAGTGTCACCTTCCTCCGGCCTGTAGTTACTGACTGATTGACTTGCTGTAATTAACAGGCAAGACAGCCGGCCAACCGTTGTTCCTGTGTCAGTATCAAGAAACGACGTAAGATAAGGTGCAAAGATAGCCAGACGATCCATGAAATACTGTAAAACTGTAGGGAACTGTTAAATGAATTCTTAGGTGGTTAGGTTTCACTACTTCAGCTATGCTATTCCAGCAAACTGAAGAATGATTGAATGAATATGTAGAGATGGGCCGGTCATCTGCAACAGCTAATGCTACTGAAAAGGCGGGTCACCATTTACAAGTACAGATCTAGTTTCTAAGTGCACTTCAGCACTGCTTGTCAATAATGAGCACTGGAATTCCTTAAGACCAGTTTTATTATTCAACTACATTATTAAGGGCACAAACCAAAAACAAGAAGACAGGGAGCTCATTCATGATCAGGTTCAGTATTTCAGAATCATGAACATGGCGGATACTGGTGCGGTGTGGTTGAAAAATAGTGCTACCAATGCCTGCTAAGTCGGCAGGAGTCTATTTTATGATTATCTTTTACTAGCTTCTACTTACAAATTTACTTGATGCGAAGTTGGAAGGTGCGAAGAACCACGGAGAAACAAGGTGACATATCAGCCATACTTAGCGAACACCTCCATAGAACCTGCATACTGTAGTACTAATTGACATCCTAAAATTGGCAATCCAACCAATGCCAGACATCCATGTGCTTATCTGTCAGTATCAAAAAAAAAATGATGTTAGGTCCCAGAGAGAAACAATACCTGAAAAAAATGAGATCGTACCCAATAATAAGTAGTTTTCAGCTACAATATTCCATCAAGGAATATAAAAGATTGTTCATTACAGAATAATTCGTTAGTCTATAACAAGGTGCAGTAGTTCCACATATTAGAACAATTTTGAGCTGCACCATGTTTGCCCACTGAGATGAACTCCGAGTTTTGTACTCTGAAATTGTTTCCAAACAACATAAACGAGGGTACTAAAACTCACTTCTGCTCAGGAATGACGTCAACAGACAAAAGTAACCATCTGCAGGTATATAACTGATTCTCCGACAAGGTAATGAAATGACCGTTCTCTGTAACAAAAAAAGTAACGTCAAATCAGTGTTCTGCGCTTCAGAAAATTGAAGTGGGAATTAACTCTCAACAAATATTTTGTGCCAAATGTGTCAACTAATGTGGCAGATCATGAGCTAGTCTAAATCATATCTTGGCAAATCCCAGGAATATGTAATCTTGTGTAGGATACGAACCTATTTAGATACTAATGGTAATAAGGTATCTGATGTTGGCAATGAAATGCTGGACTGCTAGAATGCTATTTGCATTGATGGACGTTTTAATAGATTCTTTCAGCTAATAGAACTGATCTGGAGTGAGAAAGAAACAGTGTTATTTTGCCACCATATAATATGGGTTTTGCTGGATTAGCCTGCGTAGACTATACAGTGTATAAATTTGCTTTGTCAAGATCCGTAGTCAATGAATAACAGTGGACCTCTTAGTATGAGAAAGGTACTTGAGCATAGTGAAAATATGAATATACCAAATGTAAATCAAATAGACAGATGAGTGTTTGTGGGAAAAAAATAGAGACATGAGAGTTTCCACTTGTCCAGACTAATGACTAAAATTCAAAATTTCACCCAAGGAACAGAAGAAGCAAACAGAGAGTGGCAGAGTGAGACACCCTTTAATAATATAGAATTATATATAATAAATTAGCAATTTTAACACAAACTAGTGATTCGCAGAGATAATGAAGCACTGGAAATCTGAACGAGATTTTCCATTTTGAATTTAAGATTGACGATCCTACTGCATACTCTTTTGAAGGGTAAAGACAACAAACTTAAGAGCATGAATAACCGGCCAATATCATCATGCATTTTTACATGTGGTGCACAATCAAATTTACAAAAAAGAATAATGAGAAGGAAACATTACTTTCAGTACTGATGGCACTATAAGAATGAGATTCTTCTAGGTGGTAGGTCAATTCCATCCTGTCTTCCAAGACTTACACCACAAGATCTAAGACATAGACAAGCAAGGTGTGCATTTCAAATATGTTTAATTCCTTGCAACCCCACATCTATGTTGATTGCATGAATGAAAGGCAATAATCAATTGATAATACTGTTCTATTTTCAGTGGTCACTTGACAGGAAAAACTGTACTTTAACACAGTTTTTTTTTTTTTTTGAAAAACACCCCGGGGTCTTCCGGCTAGCGTCACAAGATGGTGGGCTAGACGACCTGGGTTCGAAGCTTCACCTCTTCTAATTATTTGACATTATGTCCTTCCCTAATATTCGTGTCTTTTAACATACGTATTTTACTGTTTTATTTTCAGCGGTCATTTGAAAGGAAAAACTGTACTTTAACGAGGTGTCTTCATGTAACTAATTTCCTGAACCATGTTATATAAAAATATGTTCAGTCCTATCTTTTGAATTTCAAACCATATTACGTTCATGCTCTCAATTGTCAGGGGTTTAATCCCTACAACTCTAGAAGGTTCTGCCAGTCAATGTATATGCTCATATGGATAACATAGCAGCAACTACTATCTAGTGCTTATGTACTTACCAACAAGAGTAATAAGATTAAAATACAATATCGAGCAGCTAAGTACAGCAATTTCCTAAAGCTTCAGGTTAATATCGGACCAAACGGATTCAGTTCATGATCAGTTAGAAAAATTCAACAAATATAATTGAAACAGGTCCGACATTTCCAATCAGCTAAATCCACTGAATAACAACCTGGATTATCAACTTTGCAGCTGGAAAACGCGTAATCCAATCTGAGTTTGATTATAGCGTAATGGATTAGGTAGGAAAAGGTCAAGTTTCATCTAGTTCTCCACTCCTAGCTTCTTGCATCTTGAATACAGGTTCCCTCAGTAAGACATCCCTATAAAGGCACAGACTTAGTGACTTATCGCAAGTTCACGTAAAGGCACAGACTGCAGCAATCAACTGGAATATTGAACTGCCAGGAAAATGTAACTTCTAGTGCCTACTAAATTATTCATGAGTATTTTTCTTTGACAGACAGAGTGTATTCTATTGGAACAATTCAATTCATTTGTCTCTGCAGGAATCATACAGAAGTTGGCGCACTACTCCTATGCCTTCATGGGGTTTGATTCTGAAATATGACCATGAATGGTGAGAAGTTATATCCAGAAAGGTTCTAATCTAACTAGGCTAACTCTTTCAAAACAACAAGCTACGATGATGAGACAATGGAATAATTTACCACGAGTTCTAACTACCCCTGCAAGTTGTACGATGATACAGTAGAAATATATATATGTATGTATATATGACCAATTAATTTCACTGCCACAGGATATTGGGATCTAGGAAATCATTGGTAGCTAGCAAGACCGAGTGGATTCATATCTTCCTTTTCAATCAAGCATCGTATGTCATTCCACGACGCTTAGACCATAAGATCTTAAACTAATGTCCAGGATTTTGGGGCCGAGTAAGTTCGATTTCTCAAGCAATGACTACATACCGTGGGTCCAAAATTAGCCAATCGCCGTTATCATCTGAACTTGTTAGTTTGCTTATTAGTAGTTCCTATATGCTGCTACATCACGCCTTTGTTGTTGCCTGTTGGGCGTTCGAACTAAAAGAGGATGATCTAAACCCAGCCAGGTCAGATCTCACTCATAAAACACCCAAAACCTTACTTGGCCCTGTCCTAACCAATAATTTGGCTTAAATGGGACACCACTATGGCTATCATCCATGTCAGTCAAATTGTCAAGTTAATTCTACACGAGCCAATTAATCGGGTTGGTCCAGCTTGCTCCGCCTACAAGAGACCAGACTGCGTCAGGCAGGTTGCAAGCTTGCAACCACAGTAGAGGACGCAACAACACTGACACAATCTGAAAGAAGTCAAGAACAGCAAGGCCAGAGAAGATGTACCTTGGTGAGGAACAGAACTGACCAGCAGCGGATGTCTCCATGACGACGACCTCGCATCAGGGGATTCCCCCGTGGCCACCAGCGAGCGACCTTCCACGCGGCTGCTGCGCCTGAAGGGGGGAACAGCATGGGGATGGACGCGACAGTGAACCCAAAATGCTGCCCCGCGCACGAGCGCCCCCCGATTGCAACCTGTGATTCCAACCGCGAACGTGAGGTGAGATGCATCCTTCCAGATCGCGAAATCGCGAGGCAACGCGAGGGATCGAGTGCGGGGGAAGGGTTCTTCAGGTTACCTCAACCTGTGACCTGTCCCCTCCCCGATGCGTCCCTCCCGGATGAGAATTTTGCTCTCGTCTTGGCGCTGTGATCACCGACCCCGTGGGGGCAAGGGACGCGAGGTGAGTGAGGAGGAAGACGGGAGGGCACTGTTGCTCACGTCTCCACCGTGCCTTCCACGGCGCCGCCGCCACGCGTTTGGTCTGGTCGTCTGGAGGAGAGGCACTGCCGCGAGTCCCCCCGCGTCGGCGGCGCTATGGCACGCCGTAGAAGCGGGAATGGTGAGTGCGGAGGCGAAGGGGCTGTCGCCGGAGCGGCGGCGATGGCTGGAAGGCGAGACGGCGAGCCGGCGAGCGGTGAGACCGGCGGCGGTGGCTCGGTGGCGCTGGCCCATGGGTCCAACTGCAGTTTGTACTTTTGTGGAATCTGGACCGTACGATGGGCAAGGATTCGATGGTCTGGATAAATGATTTGAAATTTGTTTTGTTTGGCTATGCACTCCAAACTAGAGTTACTCATAATTCAAACTTATCTGGAAATACAACTACTTTTCCACTCATCTCTTAATCCTATTTTCTCATCTCAATCAATCACAACAATTCTTATCGTAACTTTAATCTCTTAAATAAAATGAATATAAATAGTTGTACTTTGGGACGGGAAAGTATTTGTCTATAATCAACGCTGACATAAACTCCCTCGAGGCATGTTTGGTTTGTTGTTCTTCTTAGCTATAAAAACAGAGGCAATACCAATGTGTTAAGTTTTCATCTAATTTGGTACCCAAAATTTGGCATGTTTAAAATGTTAGTGAGAAAAACAAATAAGATATATACATAACTAAAACGTTATAACAATGTGCAAAACAACTATTCTTTGCCAAAGTTTTGGTATGTTAGATCTTGTCGTTGCCAAATAATTTGGTAACGTTTGGATTGGCAATGATCCAAACAAGCACATAATACTTGAGTTTAACCCATATCTTCTTTGCGCCTTCATTTTTAAGTTTTGCAAAAGCTGCAATTAATTTGTGTGGTCAATATCTATATCTGGATAATTAAAGTAGGATGAGTTGAGATAGTTCGGTTCAGTTCAATGGATGACCGGCCTTATGTTTAGTTGAACGGATGTGACAAGAGAATTCACGACCGTGCGACACAAATAATGTTGTAAGATCATGTACTATCACCTTCAGCCTAATCCACTAATCATGTTGTACGATCTTGTACTATCAACCAAATGAATGCATGCATCTTTCTATACACCTAAGTAAATGAATTGACATGATAACCTTTGTGATTTGATTTTGTTCTTGACATTTTGAAACGGTAAGAAATAAAATATGTCATATGCTCTTAGTGACAAACTATTATTGTTCCATCAGTGCAAAGTGCAAGCTAAAATGTTCATAATCTGACTATACCCTTTCAACTAGAGAATCATAAATGGATTGTTCCTCGCTCGTATCAATGGTCCGACATTGCTCTTTTGCACAGGAATGTTTTTCTAAACCATAGACTTCATTTCTCGGAGGCAATGGATTAAAATTTAATCTTTGGTCTTGGGGGTCACTGAAAAGAAATAATATAGCTATGTTTAAGGGGGCTTGAGATTATAAAAAGCAGTTGGTGAAAATTTAGAAAAAGTTGTGATTCTCAACTTTTGGCAATCTAGCTTTCCATTCACTATTTAGATTCCACAACTACCAAACCTCAAAAGTTGGGTGAGAAGTTAGATAATTTCAGTCTCAGAGGGTTAAAGATTTGTAGAGAAACTGTAATTGTCAAAGTTCTCCAAAAGCTCAAAATTTGGGTGAAAAGATATATTGTATAGGAGAGGTAGGCCCTGTTTCTTTCAGCTTGATATTATTATAATCCAGATTATTGAGAGTAAGCTGAAATAAACAGACAAATTATTAAAGTAGCTTATTATAATCTGAAGCCCAGCTTATTATAATCTGATAAGCTCATTTAGGTAACAATCTAGCTTATAGTAATCTGGCTTAATAATCTAAATTATAATAATCTTAAGCTGAAAGAAATAGGGCGTTAAAGATTTTGAGAAAAGGGGTAACTGTCATAATCTCTTCAAAGAAGATCAGATATCTATAAAAAAAATCTTGATTTATAACATTCAAACGTTATAGAAATTAGTTGATTTCTAGCCTCTTACTTACTCTTGGGTTACAAGTCGTGAAAATTTATCCATTTAGTATCACTTATTCATCACGTAACAATACTATTTTTCTATTAATAAGAATCACATTGTTCTTTTTTTACCACCGATAAATTTTATTAGAAACCTAGAATGAATAGGGATCAAGTGGATTGAAATACTATGCAGTCGACTGCATCATGCTTTTATCACTGACATATGGGTCCAATGATATCCGAGCACACATATTAGTGATAAAGGCGCGGTACAATTGACTACAGGGGATCCTGGTCTGGATCAAGTCTTTGTGGGACTTACGAGCAATTACAAGCTCAATGCTTACACGTATTCAGATCTTACGGGATCAGGAGAGGAGAATATTTACGATCCACATGAAACGAGAAAAGCTCATTAGCATATGATTAATTAGATATTAATTATTGTAAACATGAAAAATTGATTTATTTAATTCTTTTAAACAACTTCTATATACAAATTTTCTGTAAAAAATTGTAGAAACGTAGTAACGGAAAACAACAAAATTGAATTTTAGATTTGGAGTATAGAACTGAACCTTAGACTTTGACTACACAGTGAGCAACCACTGCAGTCGGGGCCCACCTGATACACTAAAGGCCAAAAAGGTCAAAATTTGACTTTTCCACCCATCGTCTCCAGGCTCCAGCCGTTCAGCGAGAGAGGAGAGGCACCGAAAGAGAGAGAAAAAAATCCCAACCTCCCAAAAGGCCAAAACCATAAGCCACAAATCCCCTCATCGGCTCATCCCCGCCGCCCACCCACCCCCCGGGATCGAGCTCCATCCGCCCAACGATTCCGCCGCGCGCGCCACCGGATTCCGATTTTGTTCTCGCGTTTTTGGCGCTTTTCGATCTCCCCCGAGGCGGTAGCCGCCTAGCCGCCCGCCACCATCACCACGCGCGCGGTCGCGGCGGCAGAGGCGCGGGCAGGTGGGCGGTTGGTGGCGGCTCCACCGCATTCACTTGACCGAAAATGGCGGCCAACAATAATAGCGACCCGATCCTGGACGAGGGAGGGGGAGGGGGCGTGAAGCACGAGGCGGTGGGGGAGGCGGGAGAGGGGAAGGGTGGTGGTGGTGGTGCGGCGGCGACGCAGGCGCCCGCGGCGATGCTGCCCCGATCGGGCTCGCGGCCGCAGCTGGACCTCAGCGGCGCGGCGATCCACGGCAACCTGGAGGACCGCAACCCGACCATCCTGCTGCCTAACCAGTCCGACGACATCTCCCACCTCGCCCTCGACATCGGTGGTACGTACGTTCGTGGCGGAGCTAGCTCACACTCCCCCCGTTTCCGACTGATTTCGGGTTGGCACCTTCCGTTCCTCGTTCGAATCAGCTCAGTAGCATCAAGTCATCTGGCGGAAGTAGTTAGTGTAGAGTGCACGGGAGATAGTTAAGTGCATGGAAGCTTAGAATCAAATGCTTGATGGATTCTCTCTCTAATATCAGTGTGAACAAGCTAGCAGTTGGTCGTAATGCTGTTGTACTTGCATTTGCATGCTGTGTGTGCTCGCTACTAAACGTTATGGACACCTTATGTGTGCTGTTGCTAGTTGATCTCACCAATAACTTTGGATTATTAAGTAAACTCTGGATTTGTGACGTTGGTTTCTGAACTAGTAATGACGAATGTGGTGATTAGTTTTATTGTTCAGAAGCTCCATTTTTGGCTAGCAATCCAAAATGAGAGCTACAATCTCTTATTCTCTTCTTGGTTCCCAAATTTCATGCAAATTTGTTTACTAAGTACTGAACTGTATATTTTCTCTAGGTTCTCTTATAAAACTGGTATATTTTTCTCGGCATGCGGAGCACTCCAGTGAGGACAAGCGTAAGCTATCTACGAAGAGGAGACTTGGGATGTTAAATGGTGGCAGGAGGAGCTATCCTGTTCTTGGAGGGAGGCTCCACTTTGTCAAGTTTGAGACTGGGAAGCTAAATGAATGTTTAGACTTCATTTCTTCCAAACAACTACATCGTGGCGGTATGCAACCATTTCTTTGTATTGTTAAAAATCGAAATCATTTATGTTTTGGGGTTTGGATTGTCCACAAATTTTGTGTACTAATGTTATTTTAATACTGCAAATTGCTTTGGTGGTCATAGATTGATGTTTACCACATTATGAACAGGGATTTGAGAATATGTAGATAGTTGCTAGAGTTACTAATTTACTTTTATCACATGCATTTATATTAGCAATTTCAAGTTGGCCATTATCTTCTGTGTTTGGCTGAATTGTGCCCTGAATATCTTTATTATGATGGCATACTTGAGTTTGTTCATTTCATGTTTTTTCACATTCTTCATTGTCCTGTCCATTCTGGAAGTTTACCAGCTGTCTAATTTGCTAGAGTTTGGCTGAATTTGATACTTAAACTGTGATCATCACATTTTTGTCCACATGGTTTCCTAAGGTTTTGTTAGTCTAGGCCGTTGGCCTGCACTTTCTTAGCATTGAGTAGAACTTTTTTGCTGCAGGGGTTGATTCACCTTCGTGGCGCTCAGGAGCTCAGCCTGACAACATTGTAATCAAGGTGACAAATAATGAGACAGCACCCTTTAGGTTTATGAAAGTTTGTTTGGTCAATGTTTCGATTAATGTTTGTTATTGTTCATTAGCACTTGAATATTTGGATAGCAATCCATTATTCTCAATCTACCTTGTGTTGTTGGTGTAGATGATTTCAACCTATGGTTTTGGTGAATAACAATCATAACGCTGTAGAACAACTTGTAGTAAACCATGACAAGAATACCTTCCTTCCCATTTCCCCAAGATTAGCTCTTGTATAGCACTTGAATATTTGGCTAGCAATCCATTATTCTCAATCCTACCTTGTAGGTGTTGTTGTAGATGGTTTCCACCTATGATTTTGGTGAATAACAGTCATTACACTATAGACCAACCTGTAGTAAACAGACAAGAATGTCTTCCTTCCCATTTCCCAAGATTAACTCTTGTGTCATAATGACTGTATCTCATAGAAGCAAAGTCTTTTTCCCCCACTTATCAGGAACAGACTGCGTACTGATGTTTTCATGTACAAAATACTGACTGAGTTATCATTATCTTGATGGCATTAAAGTTATATATTTTAGTTGACTATGATATTTTGTGGAAAGGCAACAGGTGGTGGAGCATTCAAATATGCTGATCTCTTCAAGGAGAGATTGGGAGTCAGTCTTGAAAAGGAAGATGAAATGGACTGCCTTGTAGCTGGAGCAAATTTTTTGCTGAAGGTTTCT